TTCTACACTGTATGAAGATATGCCACTGTATGAAAGTCTCTGCACTGTATGAAAATATACCATACTATATGTTCCATACTATACGAAAATAATACCATACTATATGTTCCATACTATACGAAAATATACCATACTATATGTTCCATACTATACGAAAATATACCATACTATATGAATTACCACAATACCATACTATATTCCATAAAATATTCCATACTATACGAAAATATACCATACTATATGTTCCATACTATACGAAAATAATACCATACTATATGAATTACCACAATATGTACCATACTGTGTTAAAATGTACCACACTATGTGACAAGATACGACACTGTGAACTTATTCCACACTAATGAAACAATTGTACACTGTCTGAATGTTTGTAGTGCTTTAACAGTATTTTTGACTGGGAGTGTGTTGTATGTCCAGATCTAATTGTTTTACAGGCTGCAGTTATATATCTGGAATACTGTGACATTAAACAAAACAGATGTGATAGAAGACTTAGTTATTTGTCTAACTGGTGAAGATCCGGATTAGAATAGGTCTTCAGCAACCTATGCTTGTCGAAAGAGGCGACTAACGGGATCGGCTGGTCAGGCTCGCTGACTTAGTTAATGCGTGTCATCTTATCCGAATTTTGTAGACCTAATGCTCTTGATGTCAATCACTGGATTGTCAGCTTCAGACTCGATTATTTACAGACCCCCATCATATAGCTGGAATATTGCTGTGTGTGGCGTTAAACAAGCAAGTTATTTGTCTGGCTCAAGTACAACTGGCCATGGGATACAACCAACTTTGGTTGATCATATTCTGCCAAGTGCACTTGTAAACTCTTTCTCTAGCAGCTTGAGATACTCCTGCTTGTTTATATATTGTGAAAGCTAGGGATTTCAAGCCCTTGTCTGCCACACACAGTAACATGTCTACATGAGGATGTACTTGAAGCAGCCACACACACATGCATATGATACGGCGCTTGTTTGAGGCACCTCAAGGCTGATGAAGTAGTGAAGTTGTTAAACAGTTGTAATATGCCCACACCTCTCCAACGAATTGTAAATACCGATCTCAGTGATAACTTGCTTTTACCGATAGCCCAATGGTTAAGTACTGGCCTGTCATGCTGAAGGCGCCTAGGTTGGTTAACCGGTAACCCTATGGTTAAGTAATGGCCTGTCATGCTGAAGGCGCCTAGGTTGGTTTATCGGTAGCCCAATGGTTAAGTATTGGCCTGTCATGCTGAAGGCGCCTAGGTTGGTTAACCGGTAACCCAATGGTTAAGTACTGGTCTGTCACGCTGAAGGCGCCTAGGTTGGTTATCAGTAGCCAAATGGTTAAGTACTGGCCTGTCATGCTGAAGGTGCCTAGGTTGGTTTACCAGTAGTCCAATGGTTAAGTAGTTGTCTGTCATGCTGAACGCGCCTAGGTTGGTTTACCGGTACTGCAATGGTTAAGTAATGGCCTGTCATGCTGAAGGCGCCTAGGTTGGTTTACAAGTAGCCCAACGGTTAAGTACTGGCCTGTGGCGCTGAAGGCGCCTAGGTTGGATAACTGGTACCACAATGGTTAAGTATTGGCTTGTCACACTGAAGGCGCCTAGGTTGGTTTACTGGTACCGCAATGGTTAACTATTGGCCTGTCAAGCTGAAGGCGCCTAGGTTGGTTTACAAGTAGCCCAATGGTTAAGTATTGGCTTGTCACGCTGATGGCGCCTAGGTTGGTTTACTGGTACCGCAATGGTTAATTATTGGCCTGTCACGCTGAAGGCGCCTAGGTTGGTTTACCGGTACCGCAATGGTTAAGTATTGGCCTGTCAAGCTGAAGGCGCCTAGGTTGGTTTACCATTAGCCCAATGGTTAAGTATTGGCTTGTCACGCTGAAGGCGCCTAGGTTGGTTTACCAGTAGCCCAATGGTTAAGTATTGGCCTGTCACGGTGAAGGTGCTAAGGTTGGTTAACCGGTACTGCAATGGTTAAGTATTGGCCTGTCACGCTGAAGGCGCCTAGGTTGGTTTACCGGTATTGCAATGGTTAAGTATTGGCCTGTCAAGCTGAAGGCGCCTAGGTTGGTTTACCATTAGCCCAATGGTTAAGTATTGGCTTGTCACGCTGAAGGCGCCTAGGTTGGTTTACCAGTAGCCCAATGGTTAAGTATTGGCATGTCCCGCTGAAGGTGCTAAGGTTGGTTTTTCACAACGGCACCCTAGTGTATCTGTGTACATAAAAGAGAATCTTTGCTGGAATCATGGACTAGTGATTGTGTTAAAGAATTACACTTGTTATAATAAATGTGGTTGACGTACATGTTATTCCTGTCATTTATGTGAACTAAGACCATTTCGTAGTTGGTAAAACATAAAATTGGGAGTTTACCTACTAACTTTAACAAATTGTATGAGTAGCTGATCACAGCAAGTGTGTGTGATGCAGTAGATAACTATCACAAGAGAACAGTAACATGGTAAACATTACAAATAATGGAAAACATGGCATGCCATGATGCAGTCTTGTCCCTTCGCCAGACTATTCCAGTCATAGCTTTCTCAGTGTATTGTCATGCCCACAATATAAATCTTATAGGACATGATGGTGGAAACATCTGAGGGGAATTATCTCCCTTGCTTAGAATCTCTGGGGAGTCGCCTGTAAGTGTCTGTGGAACTGATGATTGGTGACATTACTGTGGAAGTATGATGTGTTCCATATTGTGCCACAGCTTCGTTACATTTGATGTGTCCATGATGAAAGATCCAGCTGGTAAACTGTGTCAGGTAGCTGACGTGCCGCTGACAGTGTTGGTGTCCTTTGTGGGAACTGGTTGAAGAAGCATGTTTTCTGTCACAATTTTGTCTGTTTGCCAACAACCATATTCACATTGCTAATCGGATGATGGTATTCTAATGGGCTAGGAAAGGTTTTAGACTGTAGCATTTTAATAAATGACAGCCTTGTGGTTGCCATTGGAACCATTCTCTTACATAATAATTAAACCAATATTTAGATTGAAAAATTAAAAAATTGATGAAATTTTGTGAAAGATGATTAAAACATTTGATTTTCTAAAGTGGAATATGTGTTATTATTCCGGGTTGACAGAGACATGTTGAAATTAATATGTAAGATGACTGAACACTGCACTTTAAAGGTACAATGTATCTGTACCTTTTCATAGGACTTGTGAGGCCGTAGGGTAGCCAAGTGGTTAAAGCGTTGGCTCGGCACCCCGAAGACCCGGGTTAAATTCCCCACATGAGTACAATGTGTGAAGCCCATTTTCTGGTGTCCCCAGCCGTGATATTGCTGAAAAATTACTAAAAGCAGCGTTAAACCATACTCAATCAGTCATAGGACTTGTGGTTTCTATCTTGTCATGAAATGATGTGACATTAGGCATATATGCTGACTAGTTCACATTGAACTTTATGCATTGTTGCAAATACTGTATACCAGCAGGTTGAAATCCCATAGCAATGGTAAGATTTCAACGTCAGTGGTTGTCTGAAGAGTGAATTTGTATATTTGTTTTTAAAGTTTGAACTGATTTTCAAGGTGTTTTACTGTTGTAAAGTTTGGAGCTGAACATATAATGACTTGTTATCGCCATCCTCACATTTTCAATATTTCCCTCGAGTTTAATGTTCTTGTGTGGATGATGGGTACAGAAACTGCTTGATTGTATCTTGGAAAAAAGACAAGAGAACAGTTTTTGAAACTGCGATCCCAAACATAAACTTGATAAGAATGTTTGAAAGCTATCTCTAGGGATAAGATGCTGTCTCCTCCATCTCTTGTTATCATTCAGCTGCAGAAGCTGTGCACCCGAGATAAGATTGTACATGCAAGAGGATCCCTGTGTGTTGAAGCTACGTATGAATTAGTCATTGTACGCATGGTAATCACTGCTGGACATCATGTCTGTATTCCAGGACCTATCTCAGTGGGGAGGGGGAGAACTAACTAGGAGAGGGGTGAGATATAGGAAGGCTGACTTATCACTATAGGAAGGGCGCCTTATCACTATAAGAGGGGTGAATTATCACTATGGGAAGGGTGACATCACTATATGAAGGATGAATTTTCACACTGTTGGAGGGGTGAGTTATCTCAGTGGGGGGCATATTGCTCCTGGTCTAAGATACTGCAAGTCAGAGTTGTGTCCCTTAGTTGCCAGTATCTGCTTATTGTTCAGATCTCTGGTTTGTCCGGATCATGTAACTTTGGGTTTTCTTCAGTAATCTGTGATTTAACAGAAATATGGCTGAAAGCACCAGTTTACTAACTGTCTCTATGGTATGTCAAGGTCTGTATTCCCTGACATCAAAATCAATATAGGACATGATGCCATCCCTGTCGTATCAATGTCAATATAGGACGTGATGCCATCCCTGTCGTATCAATGTCAATACAGGGCATGATGCCATCCCTGGCGTATCAATGTCAATATAGGGCATGATGCCATCCCTGGCGTATCAATGTCAATACAGGACATGATGCCATCCCTGGCGTATCAATGTCAATACAGGACATGATGCCATCCCTGGCGTATCAATGTCAATATAGGGCATGATGCCATCCCTGTCGTATCAATGTCAATACAGGGCATGATGCCATCCCTTGTGTATCAAAGTCAATATAGGGCATGATGCCATCCCTGGCGTATCAATGTCAATACAGGACATGATGCCATCCCTGGCGTATCAATGTCAATATAGGGCATGATGCCATCCCTGGCGTATCAATGTCAATACAGGGCATGATGCCATCCCTGTCGTATCAATGTCAATATAGGGCATGATGCCATCCCTGTTGTATCAATGTCAATATAGGACATGATGCCATCCCTGTTGTATCAATGTCAATATAGGACATGATGCCATCCCTGGCATATCAATGTCAATATAGGGCATGATGCCATCCCTGGTGTTTCAATGTCAAACCTGGATGGTTTAGTGTCACCCGGAACTGAATTTATTTCTTCTTCTTCAGATGGGAGGAGCGTCGCACAACAAGTGGCCGTGTACATTATGTGAATCATGTAACCAGGACTACGCAATGGGACAGACCCACAAGGTAGGTGTAACTCTGATATGTGAATCATGTTACCAGGACTACACAATGGGACAGACCCACATGGTAGGTGCGACTGACTGACTGACTGACTGACTGACTGACTGGCAAGGACTATAGGACTAGTGCCAATTTCTAACCCTGCTGACTGACTGACTGACTGACTAGCATTCTGCCACTCCGAAGGCTGTGTGTACACTTTGTCAATTGTACACACATGTGAGGAATCAGGTCATGATGCTGCTTCACCCTGGTACCCCCCACTACCTCCCTTTCTTCCATCCCCACCTTCCATCCCCACCTTAATGAGAAACTCTACGTGCTGCTTGGGAGGGAAGGTAACCTTTTGCAGCATCCCCTCAGGTAGAACCATAGGTTAACTGCTGCATCTGGTAGAACCTTTGCTTCAGATACAAGCTACAGTCTGCTGAATTTGTGAATGGATCATAGTTGCTGTTGTGTGCTTGATGATGGTTATTACTGTTATCCTTAAATAGTGAATGTGATGATGGCTGCCAGTTTCATCATATTAGTGCCATCTATTGTGTGACTTTGTCACATTAGTTTCATTTAGATTGATAGTGTTGCCAGATTTGTAATCAGCAGTGGGGATAATTCTGATATTTACTGTATCCTATGAGCATGACATGTTAGCCAAGTGGTTAAAGCGTTCGCTCATCACGCCAAAGACCTGGGTTCGATTCCCGACATGGGTACATGGTGTCCCTCACACTCACTCACTCACTCACTCACTCACTCACTCACTCTATTACATATTTGCCAAACTCCTGTATTTTGGCTGCAAGCACACTATTACTAAATCTTCAGATTCAACATATCTCCTTCACTGTCAACTATACTCAACTAGTAAATCATTCTTGAGTCTGGCAAGAATATTTTAGTCTACCTGTCTAAACTTCTCTCAGCATGCGCATGTGCACACGCACACGTACACACACACACGCATGCACGCACGCATGCACTCACACACTTATTTTCTGACACTGCTTAGCAAATGGACCTATGAAGCAGAAAGTACTAGACATATTTTCCTTTGGCTTCAGGCTCGTGGTTAATGTCGCTGCCTGGTGGAGTAGTGGAAAAGGAGAGTCTTTTATTCACTCTCAGAAATCCAGTTATACCGCTTCAACGCTTTGTTGGAGACTTGGCAAAGTGATGGGATTCCTAACAATTTCCTGGTGTATGTTGTGAATGTAAGAAATGAGCATTACTGCATACCTGATCCCTGTATAAATACATGGTTATCGGTAATGCAGTATTAATGCTCAATTACCTCCTATAGCAACTCGGCTATTGTAGACGATCTAACTGGAAAATGGCTGGCAGTCCATCTTGGAGCTATTGTGCGCATCTATATTTCCATTCACTGACATCTTCTCAGCCTTGCCAAATGTCAGGTGTCAGTGCAGCTCTCACTTACATTGCCCTGGCCACATGTCACGGGCCATGTTACAAGTCCCAGCTGTTAGGGGGGCCACGGGTGGCCCAGTCATCTAAGGCGCCGCGATTCGCTATGCAGAGTTGTGTCCCTTGGGCACGCCAGAAACTATGATTGTGGGTTCGAATCCTGGTTTGCCCCGATTATTACGTTTATAGGTTTGTCAGCACCATACCCGTGGGTTTCAGCGAAGTGGTAAACGTCTGAGACCTGCATCACTTCAGGCTTTCCTCCCACATTAAGCTGACACGCCGCGATATAACTGGAATACTGAAACTGAAACTGAAACTGAAACCCCCAGATTGAGGATCACTTGTTACAATTTTTGAATTCAGTTATTGGTTATCATTTTTGTCTGTCTGGCCTTTGGCAGAGATACAAGGTGAATGAAAGAATTCCAGGCAGTATTGTGTGTTGACATTTTCTTTGTACTCTGGGACAGAACAGAAAATGAAAAGGCTGAATTACACATTTTTAAGGAGCCTGTTATCCCACATCAATTTTTTCAAAGTTATTGCCTGGGAGCTATTTTTCTTCTTCAACCACCTCCAGGTCTGCATCTATTTGTGGTTGGGATGTTTCTAGTAGTACATGCAGATGACATTTGCTGGTCTGGTGCTGTGTAGGGTCTAAGAGTTTTCAATCTTCCTCCCATTTCACACTCTGCCCGCATTGTCTGGAATTGCCTGTAGGGAATCTAAGGTGGAATTGCTTGGATGTAGAAAGGCAGTTACAGTATCAGCCAGTCATGTGGGTGGCCAAGGAGAGGATTCAGTCATAAAGTAGATTTGATAGATCAATAATAATGATGATGATAATGATAATAATAATTATAATAATGCTATTTGTATAGCGCAAAATCCACATCACTGAGGGACATGGTCAATGCGCAAATCCAGCATATGTACATACATACTACAGAGAGGGGACAGTCAGATAGTAAACATATACACATTCAGCTGTGGCGTTCCAAAAGGCATGTTTTGAGTCCAGACTCAAACACAGTGATACTAGGTGCACTTTTGAGGCTGAAGGGAAGGGAGTTCCATAGCGAGGCACCAGCATGAGAGAAGGATCGAGCACCCAAGGAGTTTAGTCTGTATTTTGGTACAGACAGGAGAAGTTGGTCTGATCTGATGCCACATTTGCAGTTTGAATGAATGTAGATCAAGTTCTTGCAAGTTCGGGCTTACTTTGTTCTGTAATTCATAAGTTCCTCTCAATATCCTCAGCAATCATTATGTTCATGTATGTTTTTCAGCACATTTGATAGTAGCCAAAATAAACCTGCATATGCTGTTATGACAAATTTTGAGTGTACGGGATATATATATAATTTGAGATACGGGTGTTCATGTAGATTTTCGATAAATGTGTTCAGCTAAATTTTAGACAAGGGTGTCCAGCTGTAAGGGTTTTGATGTAACTCTTGTACTTGTAGGAATTGTGTTCCAAAATTTTTCAAATTTGGCCTACTGTGCTGAAGATTGGGGTTATGTGATAGGTAAAACATTAATCCCCATGTAATCCCCACACACATCATGGAATTAATATTGTTTTGTGATGTCATGATTAACCGGTACACTGGTGCATCGTCGGCAAACTTTGCACGAAATGATACCCAATAAATTTAAGTTGGCATCGATTCACATTTAACGCCATATATTGTCAATGTTGTTCTCGCATCGATGTCAATAAGCAAGTACAAACTATTTTTTTATTCCTTATTACTTTCATGGTCGTATTTCGTATACGAGCCTGTCATTGTCCCCCGCCGCGCGAAAGCGCGGAGTGGGGGATATAGTATTCACGACTGTCCGTACGTCCGTCCGTCCGTCCGTCCGTCCGTCCGTCCGTCCGTCCGTCCGTACGTCCCACCTGTTTGTTGCCGCGGTATCTCAAAAACTAAACGCTGGATTGTCTTCATATTTGGAACTATGGTGTATATACAGACTCCGCAGACACCAATTGATTTTGGTGACCTTGACCCCATTTTCAAGGTCACAGCAGGCAAATCTGCTTTTGGAGTTGGAAAACGGTGTTGCCGCGATATCTCAAGAACTAATCGCTGGATTGTCTTCATATTTGGAACTATGGTGTATATACAGACTCCGCAGACACCAGTCGGTTTTGGTGACCTTGACCCCATTTTCAAGGTCACAGCAGGCAAATCTGCTTTTGGAGTTGGAAAACGGTGTTGCCGCGATATCTCAAGAACTAATCGCTGGATTGTCTTCATATTTGGTACTATGGTGTATATACAGGCGGGGGACATTTCGTCACTTTGTGACAAATACTTGTTAAACATTATGTTTACTAAGTGTTTCTTTTTATTTTCTCATACAGAATAGTTGATTTGACCCCTGTGCTATGTCGATGAGTATAAGTCGGTTGTCAGTTCTTCTTTACCTGTATGAACGAGTCGTATAGACACTATTTTCAGTCAAATGACTGGGTTTTCCGCACAAACTGTTGAATATGCAGTATCGATATACGTGCCGTATCGTGGCTTCTGTACTGAGATGTATCGTATTGTGTGATACCTATATGGTGAAATCCCTAATATTGTTATGACGAGGGTGTGATCATGCAGTTATGACCACAATCATTCCATTATAAGTGGTAGGATCAGACAGTAGTAGACTAGATGCAAGAAGACTTGCGTAGGCAGCCATAGCAACAACAGTGTCAGTTATCTTGACCTATGCAAGAAATAACTAACAGCTGTGAATAGAAACATGTATTTCAACGTGTTGACATGCATTCAAAATGCTGTCATATATGAAAGATTTAGATAGATCACAGTGTAAACAGATAAACAGATAAACAGATAAACTGCCCCTTCTCATTAGTCATTGAACAGCATGTCTTTGTATTATGAACAATGTTTTTGCTGCAAACTAATATGAGACAGTGCTGTGCTGACTAGGCTATTCTTCACTACGTGTCCTTCATTGATTTAATGATTGCTTGGTTTGTAGGCCTGCAAATGAGTGTCGCCGCCCTGTCAGTGTGGTGAACCCTGTGGTGAGCAGTCCTGGGTCATCGTCATCGTCATCCTCCCCCAGCAGCACCCCTGATGACAGCAACAACAACCCCAACCACCAGTTCGTGAGACGCCGGTCGACGCGCAGGCGGCAATATCTCAGTCGGGCTGAACTGCACAATGCTGTCACTTTACCAGAGGGATATGGTAAGATATCTCCACAGTCAGATTGCACACAAGATTTCATTTTCATTTTACAAAAGTCTCCACGATTATAACTGAAGGTTTGTCCGCATCATGCCCGTGCATGTGGTATTACCGTAATTGTTGAAACCTGCATCATTTTGGGATTTCCTCCTACATTAAGGTGACACGCCATGATATATCTGAAATACTTTCTTAAGCGATCACACTCACTCATTTTACAGAATCGAACAGTATCTTATTAAATAGTTTTGAAGTACGCTTTGTCACAGACAGCATGCCGTGACTGAACATATAAAAACTGCACAGTATCACGAATCCTTGTGAAACATCTGAAACTACAAGTTAGAAATAGTAAGCATGTCCTGAACATCATGCTGGTTGTGTGTTTGTACCCACATGTGGATCATTAGTCCTGGTCCAGGCTCTGGCATGCACGTAGGCACGTACATTTGTACATGCTCGTGTACATATGCACGTCGCTATATAAATGCAATAAGCTTGAACGCGACGTTAAACCCCATTTTACTTCGCTCACCTGAGATATGGCTCTTTTGATGCTGTTTATGACATAAAACATTTGTTCACTCGCTATGATGCGAACGGGGTGATAAGATTTGTGTGGTTACAGAAGGAGAAAGCAAATAGTTTATATGCAGATGTGGGTAGTCTCACTGGTTAATTGGTAAATAAAACAGTCACCTGAATTCCATTCCCATCCCATTTTAAGCTGAAGCACATATTCTCCTCCCATTTCAAATTAACACATTTGAGGGTTCCTCAATACTCCAGAGTTCCTTTAGACAATTACTCATATTTAAGCATGTACATAACTCTAATTCAGGGAGTTAGTCTGCCTGACTGCCCTGTTGTCCTGGACTGCCTCTGTGGTTAAGTGGTAGAGCATCCGCCCAGAGAGTGTAATGTCCAGGGTTCGAACCCCAGCCGCGTCATACCAAAATACGTTTAAAGTTGGTATCAATTGTTACCCTGGACTTTTGGCATTAAGGGGTTAAAACAAGGACTGACCGGCTCGGGATCAGTATACTGTGACTGAGTGGGGTATTCATGCCATCTCAGTGGGATAGCACTATAAATCGGCATCAGTCTGACGCACAAGATGCACTTGGCTAAACCCCATTTCACCTCATCCTGTTATCCTGAATGTGCTGTTGTATGTTGCAGAACAACGGACCACCCAGCAGGGCCAGGTGTACTTCCTGCACACAAGGACAGGGGTCAGCACATGGCATGACCCCAGAGTGCCCAGGTAGGGACAACAAACTTAACTCTGTAGGAATCAGTTTACAAGGGTTCGAAATTAACACAGTCCACTAGTCCAAGACTTTCGACATTCAGGAAAATTGACCTTAACATAATATAATCTCCAACTTTGTTCTGTCCATCCCAAAGTGGTCTGGCACATGTAATTCCAGTGTTGGATCAGTGTCTGTCCTCGCAGGATTGTCTCCAGACCCGTGAAGATCCGGGGTAGAATAGGTCTTCAGCAACCCATGCCTGCCGTAAAAGGCGACCATGCTTGTCGTAAGAGGTGACTTACGGGATTAGGTTGTCAGGCTCGCTGACTTGGTCGATGCATGTCATCACATCCCAATTGCGTTGATCGATGCTCATGATGTCAATCACTGGATTGTCTGCTCCATACTTGATTATTTACAGACAGCTGTCACATAGCTGGAATATTGCTAAGTGCGGCATTAAACAAACAAACAAACAAACAAATGATTGTCTCCCAGAGAATGGAATGTTTAGCACAGCTATCCTCTGTTTGAAATGATGTCGCAACTGTAATCAGCCTCACAGTGGCACCCGGACGTTTTGGTATCTATGTGTAGGGACATTTATTTGTGGACATCCGCTTAAACCATTCAGCTCACAGCAACACACAGATTTTTGTGGACTGGTGAAAATAAAAATTAATTTCTAACCCTGGTAACTGATATTTGTTGAAAGACCTTGATCCCATCTCATGAGCTATGAAGGGTTTGTAGAAATTGTATTAAATTCTTCAAATTTCCTCTGTAACGTTATGTACTGAAGTTTGGCTACTTGCAGAGATTGTAATACAGGTGCCAGGTATAAACAAACACTCGTGAAGTGTTGAGATTTGCCTGATATGTTTATTGTGCAGTTTCTGAGAATGTGTTTTTGTGTACACAAAATTATCAAAAAAGGATATTAGGCTTTTAAGAATGATTAAGATGTGGGATTTCTTTTGCTACTGTTTGTTATTACTACATGCCACATATATCTATAGTGTTGCCTTATCCAAACAGTTGACTTCTTTACCAGATTTTCTTCCCAAACATTTAGATTTCTGATAATAGACACCCCAAAAAATTGTTATTTCAAATTCCATATTCAATTATTGAATGCTTTTGTTAAGATGAATGAGACAATTGTTGATCATTTGAGTGCCTTGGTCCAACCTTGAATCCATGTGGCTCTATGTTCGCAAGCCACTAATACAGCTACTGCCACAGCTGAGTGAGGATTACAGTCAGTTGTGTACACACATACCATGTGCTTCCAATCTCAAGCGGTGTTCAGTGGGACTGGCTGCAGAATGTGGTCACTGTTTACAAGGATGTTACCTGTTCGTGCAGGATGTTATCAGCCCCTGTTAATACCTAGATTCTCCTTGTGTTGTTATGCCTAGACCCTGATGCCTCTTCGAAGTAGAATAGTCTCTTCAGTATCTTTAAGTCCTTCATGCAACCCCATAATAGACTGGCCCCCTCACCTTGATGCCTTCCCAGAGTAGACCCTCCCCCTTAGTGTATTTTACCAAGACCATGATACCTTCCAAGAGTAGACCGGCCACCTCAGTGTATTTCACTAAGACCTTGATACCTTCTCAAAGTAGACCGGCCCCCTCACCTTGATACCTTCTCAAAGTAGACCAGCCCCCTCACCTTGATACCTTCTCAAAGTAGACTGGCCCCCTCACCTTGATACCTTCTCAAAGTAGACCAGCCCCCTCACCTTGATGCCTTCTCAAAGTAGACCGGCCCCCTCACCTTGATACCTTCTCAAAGTAGACCGGCCCCCTCACCTTGATGCCTTCTCAAAGTAGACCGGCCCCCTCACCTCAATGCCTTCCCAGAGTAGACTGGCCCCCTCACCTTGATACCTTCTCAAAGTAGACTGGCCCCCTCACCTTGATACCTTCTCAAAGTAGACTGGCCCCCTCACCTTGATACCTTCTCAAAGTAGACTGGCCATTCACCTTGATACCTTCCCAGAGTAGACCGGCCCCCTCACCTTGATACCTTCCCAGAGTAGACTAGCCCCCTCACCTTAATGCCTTCTCAAAGTAGACCGGCCCCCTCACCTTGATTCCTTCCCAGAGTAGACCGGCCCCCTCACCTTAATGCCTTCCCAGAGTAGACCGGCCCCCTCACCTTAATGCCTTCCCAGAGTAGACCGGCCCCCTCACCTTAATGCCTTCTCAAAGTAGACCGGCCCCCTCACCTTGATACCTTCCCAGAGTAGACCGGCCCCCTCACCTTGATACCTTCTCAAAGTAGACCGGCCCCCTCACCTTGGTACCTTCTCAAAGTAGACTGGCCCCCTCACCTTAATGCCTTCCCAGAGTAGACTAGCCCCCTCACCTTGATGCCTTCCCAGAGTAGACCGGCCCCCTCACCTCAATGCCTTCCCAGAGTAGACCGGCCCCCTCACCTTGATGCCTTCCCAGAGTAGACCGGCCCCCTCACCTCAATGCCTTCCCAGAGTAGACCGGCCCCCTCACCTTAATGCCTTCCCAGAGTAGACCGGCCCCCTCACCTTAATGCCTTCCCAGAGTAGACCGGCCCCCTCACCTTGATACCTTCTCAAAGTAGACCGGCCCCCTCACCTTAATGCCTTCTCAAAGTAGACCAGCCCCCTCACCTTGATACCTTCCCAGAGTAGACCGGCCCCCTCACCTTGATACCTTCTCAAAGTAGACCTGCCCCCTCACCTTGATACCTTCTCAAAGTAGACTGGCCCCCTCACCTTGATACCTTCTCAAAGTAGACTAGCCCCCTCACCTTGATGCCTTCCCAGAGTAGACCGGCCCCCTCACCTTGATGCCTTCCCAGAGTAGACCGGCCCCCTCACCTTGATGCCTTCCCAGAGTAGACCGGCCCCCTCACCTTAATGCCTTCCCCGAATAGACCGGCCCCCTCACCTTAATGCCTTCCCAGAGTAGACCGGCCCCCTCACCTCAATGCCTTCCCAGAGTAGACCAGCCCCCTCACCTTGATACCTTCTCAAAGTAGACAGGCCCCCTCACCTTAATGCCTTCTCAAAGTAGACCGGCCCCCTCACCTTAATGCCTTCCCAGAGTAGACCGGCCCCCTCACCTTGATTCCTTCCCAGAGTAGACCGGCCCCCTCACCTCAATGCCTTCCCAGAGTAGACTAGCCCCCTCACCTTAATGCCTTCCCAGAGTAGACCGGCCCCCTCACCTTAATGCCTTCCCAGAGTAGACCGGCCCCCTCACCTTGATACCTTCTCAAAGTAGACCTGCCCCCGCACCTTGATACCTTCTCAAAGTAGACTGGCCCCCTCACCTTGATACCTTCTCAAAGTAGACTAGCCCCCTCACCTTGATGCCTTCCCAGAGTAGACCGGCCCCCTCACCTTGATGCCTTCCCAGAGTAGACCGGCCCCCTCACCTTAATGCCTTCCCCGAATAGACCGGCCCCCTCACCTTAATGCCTTCCCAGAGTAGACCGGCCCCCTCACCTCAATGCCTTCCCAGAGTAGACCAGCCCCCTCACCTTGATACCTTCTCAAAGTAGACCGGCCCCCTCACCTTAATGCCTTCTCAAAGTAGACCGGCCCCCTCACCTTGATACCTTCCCAGAGTAGACCGGCCCCCTCACCTTGATACCTTCTCAAAGTAGACCGGCCCCCTCACCTTGATACCTTCTCAAAGTAGACTGGCCCCCTCACCTTGATACCTTCTCAAAGTAGACTAGCCCCCTCACCTTGATGCCTTCCCAGAGTAGACTGGCCCCCTCACCTTAATGCCTTCCCAGAGTAGACCGACCCCCTCACCTTTATACCTTCCCAGAGTAGACCGGCCCCCTCACCTCAATGCCTTCCCAGAGTAGACCGGCCCCCTCACCTTAATGCCTTCCCCGAGTAGACCGGCCCCCTCACCTCAATGCCTTCCCAGAGTAGACCGGCCCCCTCACCTTAATGCCTTCCCAGAGTAGACCAACCCCCTCACCTTAATGCCACTACAAAGTAGACTAATTCCTCCTTGATTGTTGTGGCACAGTTCCAGATATTCCAGTTTTGAATTGCAGTGTAATGAATAGGGTGAGACTGTGGCCTGTGTGCTTAATTCATGTATTAGATTATCTGAGCGACTCCGAACTAGCTGTTTTTCACCTTGTGAATCTTGCAGCTTCCCATCCTTGTTAGCTGATAGCGTTCAGGCATTCAAAGTCCTGTTGGAATTGGGTTTGTTTTGCACATATTCTTATGAAGCCTGTAAACATCTCTACCTTTTTTGATGATGTTTCTGCATGGTCTTTTTACATTCCACAACTACATTGTTGAATGGATCTGTACATGGTCCATATTCTTATGATGGAGGAATTTTCAAGTCATCCTCCAAACCTCTTAGCATCAGTCAAATGTCTTCTGCTCAAAATGCTGTTTTGATAAAACATACATATATTCCTGAAGGCGACAAAACTGAAGTTGTTTCAGCAGCTTGCAACAAAATGACTTCAATGTTTACATGGTATTCCCATTTTTGAAAGGAAGATTAGAACTTACCACTAGCCCGTGCCTAAGTGTCCACTGTTAACCAGACCGCCTCCGTGGTCTAGTGGTAGAGCGTCCGCCCGGAGAGCGGAAGGTCCGGGGTTCGATCCCCGGCCGCGTCATACCAAAAGACGTTAAAAGGTACTTGTTGTTACCCTGTCTGGCGCTCGGCATTAAGGGGCTAAAACAAGGACTGGTCGGCTCGGAGTCAGTATACTGTGTCTGAGTGGGGTATTCATGTTAAACTGCGGCATGGTATCTCAGTGGGCTAGCACTATAAATCGGCATCAGCCCGGACTAGTACAAGCAGCCACACACACACACACACACACACACACACACACACACACACACACACACACACACGTGCATGCACGTCGCTATATAAGTGCAATAATCTTGGACGCGACGTTAAACCCAATTTCACCTCACCTCCACTGTTAACGACTAGTCTATTCCTGTACATTTACACTACAGTAAGCATGGTTGATAGTACCTTATAGTTAAAACAGTAAGTTCTTGAGGGAAGATGGGTTTGAATGAATAGAGTGAAAAGGTAATGGTGAAAACTGGGATAGGCATTATGGCAGTTGTAGCGTGCAAGGATGGCTCTGTGAAGTGAAACACCGCTTGTTTCCGAGGAACAGTTTAACCTGGCATCCATCAAGGGGAACTGTTGCTGTGATGGGAACTGTGATAGTTGCAGCACTTAGTTGGCCTGGTAGAAAAAAGGTCTGCAATCAGACCCCATTAACAGAATGTTTCTAATGTACCACCCAGTAGCTGTGTGTAAACTTGCAGTCACCTGACATACCATCCCCAAACTTGCCGAGCTTGCTATTCGTTGAACAGTTCCTGCTATCTGCCTGAAGATCTTAGTTCTGATGGTGGTAGAGTGAAGTTGAATGACATAATCACTTTCACATGCAGAAACTACCTATAGTCATTGTGTGAGGATCTGGGTTTAGATGCTTGCATCTCCAGAAGGGACACTGTCTCCATGGAGGTGTGATGTGGTCAGGGTTTACTGATCCAGCGTCTTGTTATGTCAAGTGCATGATAAATAACAGCACTTGTGAAGACATGCTGGCAAACATTTTCAGTCCACTGTCCTTACCTATCCTCAGTAGATGATTCGCATGTCATCGTATTCCAATTGCGTGGATCGGTGCTCATGATGTCAATCACTGGATTGTCTTATTTACAGACTGTTGCCATATAGCTGGAATATTGCTGAGTGTGGCATTAAACATCAAACAAACAAACAAACAGTAAATGATTCGCCTGGCATATGCAAGGATTTATCTAGGCCTGCCCAGAGGCCGATATTTGGCCCCATATCTGCAGCAATTGTCTGTAAAAAGTCCAAAATTGGAATTAAAAATTTCCCACTTCATGGTGATATTGTTATAACTTATGTTATGGCTTTGTAGAGGCATCTTGTATTTCACTGATAACAACACCAATTAAGAGCAAGAGGCCTAATGCTTAGTATGGAATGCAATGTTACCTCAGAATCTGCGTAATTAAAATAACTTATAAACATCCCAATTTTGAACACAATAGCGTTTTTTTGGCCCAATTTGCTTGCCAAGGGCACTTCATTACTAAGTTTAGAATCCTAGATAAATCCCTAACATGACTTACATAATGCACAAAAGATGATACCCAAGAAGATCCAGGTTAGAACTGGTCTTTAGCAACCCATGCTTTCCATAACAGACTTGATGACTTGTTTGATGGATGTCATTGTATCCCAATTACGTAGATTGATGTTCATGATGTCCGTCACTGGACTGCCGTCATATAGTTGGAATATTGCCAAGTGTAGCGTGGAACATGTTGAACAATAGACACAAAAGATGTATTATTGGAACTTCTTTTTATTGGGATTTTCTTCATCGGTAGGTACTGGGGGACTGTAAAATGATTTGAGGTAGGATATTTGATAAGTAGTCACATAGGGATAAGACAATATAATTTGTTATGTCTTGAGCTAAGCGTACTTGACCAAAATGAATTGTACAGGACTCAGTCTTCACAGCAGATTCTCTTATGTAAGTAGCCGACTTTTAGGAGACTGTGTTGAGGGCACAGGCACGACTGTGGCAAAGTGATCAACTTCTTTCGTGTAGTATTTGTTAAATGTTTTCTTATCAATGGATCGAGGGATATAACTCATACTAGAATCTCTTTAACAAACAACCAAAGATTTCACACTTTCCAAGTCCAATTAAGTTATTCATGTAAATAAGTTTGTTTAAATATGGTTATTGGAACAGACAATAAATCACCTCGGACTGTACTAAGGTTCCAGCTGAAAACACCCATCCATCTCCACAGTGCAGCCAAGGGTAGAACAACCGTGTGTGTTAGCAATGAAAGCAAACCTGATACTTCCCATGCTGGAAGCTCCGGCTGGTCTTATTTGTACCAAACACTGATAGTTTTATGATTGGGTATTGTGAAATCTTACTATTGCCAAAATACCATGTGGCTGTTGTCATGTTGTGTGTTTTTTTCGTATGTTGGAACTTGGAACTTTTACCAGAAGATTTATGGAACATGTATGGAACATTCAAAGGAAAAGATTATAAAAGTAAATTCAACTTTCAAATATATTTTAATCTGATGTTGGCATGAAGAAGTCTCACTTTCAAACGTTAAATTTGAGTCATCAGCTAATTTCACATTTCATCATCCTACTGTCCATTTACAGTTTGATATGAAAGTACGTATTTTATTCCAGGTTGCAATTTTAAACAACCAAGTTATCACATGTAGATATCATATGTCAAGAAAATATCACAATCCTAACAAAAATCCACACACCTAAATTTGAAATCCACCTAAAGTTGGAAAACCCTGATAACAAGGCGATAGCCATGTCCCCGATGGGGCTATCTGAATGTGTCGGGGCAACACCCTTATACAAAGTAGCGGGATCTGTTTAACCTGTGCTGGGCCAGATGTTGTGAGTCACTGTCTCACTGGAAGAAGCCTATACACATGCTGCCAGATGGCCCAACCAAATGCTGCCTGTTCTTCAGTTGTTCTTAAAACAAAAAAAATATCCGTTAAATATAGCTGATCTCAGCGAGTGTGTGTGCTCTAGCTACCTGACACTGCTAACAGACTGACTTGTACGAGTTTGGCAGTTTGCCCTTTCAATACGAGTGGATTTCAAGAAGATGGAAAACAGAAGTAATTAAGTTAAAGGCTGCTTGGGTAATGAAGCATGATGGGAGATAATTAGCTTGTTACTTAACGTTGCATGTTGAGTCTAGGTTGTCGTCACTTACAGAGTTGAAAGTGTCTGTAGCCTTATCTTGTAGATGTGGATGTTCACAGGAAAATATTATCTTGTGAAATGACGTGGGTAATCAGCACTGACGAGTACTTCTTTTCTGGTCACACTTGCAATTAGGAATATTTTTTTAAGTTTTGTTGTTTTTTCTGCACGGGAAACTGTGTCAAAATGTCAATGTTTCAGTGAAAAATATAAGTGGAACAAACCCAAATCTTGGTATCATTGGTGGATATTGTTTGAATGTGGACCCACCTTGTACTTTTGTTTAGGCAAACAGTCAGCTCTCGGCTTGACCCCCCAAAAACTGTTAAGTTGGGACTTGGGTATAGAATTGGGGCAGTGGTTTGGCCTTGTATAAAGTTTTGAATCTCCCATAGTTGAATCTCCACATATACGTCAGCGTTAGAAATTGGCACTAGTCCTGTAGTCCTTACCAAACTGCCCCATAGTAAAGGTATCCAAGGGACTAGTAGAAATTGGCCCATTTTAAGGGTTTTGCTATATGTTATCATTATAAGGACTAGTGGACAAAAACTGTTAGTTTCTTACCCTGTACGTGTGTGAAGATCAGTCTTTGTCTCGCCTGTAATGATGTGGCTGGAATATTGCTAAGAGCAGTGTAAGACCATGCTGAATCATTTGTGCTCATGTGTATGTGTATGTGTATGTACATGGACATTCTGTATGTGTATGTGTATGTACATGGACATTCTGTATGTGTATGTGTGCATATAACAGTGGTTGTTTCATTTTCAGGGATATTTCCAATCTGAATCTTGGTGAGGAAGATCTGGGTCCCATGCCTCGAGGATGGGAGTTGAGACAGACAGGGAATGGGCGTGTCTACTTCGTGGATCACATTAACCGAACCACCCAGTTTACAGACCCCCGACTCTCAGCCAACATCCAGCTCATTCAACAGAAATTGTGAGTGAAATATATGATAAGAAACTTATGCTTCATGTCTTGCAGAGTTGAGAACTAAGCGTGAGAGTCAAGGGGCCCTTGTTACCTAAATGTTAACTGTAAAATTTAGGGGGTCCTAAATTCAAATACTATAGGAGAACACCTAAAGGGCCCTAGAGACCCCACTTAAGTTTGGACTCTTACATAGAATTGTTGTTTTCATGATTGTGGCTGTTGCCGTCAAAATATTCCATTTATAAACAGTTCAAAATGTCCCCAAGAAGGTTATCATTGTTTTTGTGCATTGCAAGTTTAATTCTTCTTTGGTTTCATAGTGATTTCTCTTATGTGAAAGATGATTGAATAATTGGTTTCTGGTAATAGTTCAGATGAGGTATTAGCATGGTACAGTTCGTGTTGGATATAACATACATAAAGGCATCTTAACAATGAATCTATATGAAGCTGTCAGTCACATGAACTAAACTTCACCGACACCCAGTTGGAATTGAAAGTTGTTGCTTCACCTGTGTGATTGTTGTGAGGGGTAGCCTTGATTTCCTACGTACAGTGTGTGAAGCCTGTTCTTGGTGTCCCCTGCCTTGATATGGAAGGATTACTAGTAATGGAAGATCCGGGGTAAAATAGGTCTTCAGCAATACATACTTGCCGTAAAAGGCGACTATGTTTGTCATAAGAGGCGACTAACGGGACAGGGTGGTCAGGCTTGCTGACTTGGTTGATTCATGTAACCGGATCCCAATTGCGTAGGTCAATGCTAATGATGTCAATCACTGCATTGTCTGGTCCAGACTCGATTATGCATAGACCGCTATCATATAGCAGGAATGTTGCTGGGTGCAGAAATAAATAATAGTAGAAGTGTAAAACCTTGTTTTGCCTTTTATTAGGAATTTCCCATTTATAGATATGATGTTAAGAAATTGTTTTGAATGATTTTAAGATGTATGTAGTGCAATTTTAAGTGCCACAGATTATGTATGAACAGGACATTTTCCAGAAAAAATTCTGACAAGGAGAATGACATTCCTCTGCCCAAGTACAAGCGTGACCTGGTCCAGAAGATGAAGATTCTCAAGCAGGAGTTCAGTGCTCTGCAGCCCCAGGCAGGTCACTGCAGGATGGAGGTGTCCCGGGACGAGATATTCGAGGTAGGTAGACACAGATGGTAGATGTAACCAGTGTCGGCCCCAGGCAGGTCACTGCAGGATGGAGGTGTCCCGGGACAAGATATTCGAGGTAGGTATACACAGATGGTAGATGTAACCAGTGTCGGTCCCAGGCAGGTCACTGCAGGATGGAGGTGTCCAGGGACGAGATATTCGAGGTAGGTATACACAGATGGTAGATGTAACCAGTGTCGGTCCCAGGCAGGTCACTGCAGGATGGAGGTGTCCCGGGACAAAATATTCGAGGCAGGTAGATAGAGATAGTAGATATAATCAGGTGTTTGTCCTAGTCAGGTTACTGCGTGATACCTCAGTACACAATTGTACTTCTCGTAAGAACCAGTGGGGATTGGATGATCATGGATTGGTGCCCATCTGGATGACACATTCTCATTGGTGACTTTGTTGCTCATACTGTTGTTCCCAGATTTGCCTGGACCACACATACAGGCAGTTGGTATATGATAATATTACTCCTAGGGAATAACCCCCATATACCAGCATGTTCTATATTTTTACCAAATTAACTTGGATCTACGTTGATGAAGAGATATTTGACTGAAAACTGAGTCATCACTCTATAGTTACCTTTTCAACAGACAACTATGTTAAATGTTTGAGGGAAAATGATAGTAGTAAGTTACTAACAGACATTGCTGAGATTCAAAATATCTTTCTTTCATTTTGCAGGATTCTTACCGACAAGTCATGAAAATGCGCTCTAAAGACTTGCGGAAACGTCTCATGGTGAAGTTCCGTGGAGAAGAAGGTCTCGACTATGGTGGTGTTGCAAGGTAACTCTCAGTGAACTGGCAATGACAAAGGAGAATATAACATAATGCTCATGCAGAACTCATTACAAGCTTGTGCATTTTGGAACATTAGGAAAAACAGAAGATATATTTAGTGTAAAATTAACTTGAACTGAAGACATTGCCATTGCTGATGTGTGCCTGAGCTTTTTCTACCCTTGTTCCGTTCTGCAGGGAATGGTTCTACCTGCTGTCCCATGAGATGCTGAACCCTTACTACGGCCTCTTCCAGTACTCCAGGGATGATATCTACACGCTCCAGATAAACCCAGACTCAGGGGTCAACCCAGTAAGTCTCCTGTCCATTACCCCCGGGGGACTCAGGGTTAAATTTAGTAAGCGTGGGACTATACACCAGATCCGAGATCCGAGATCCGAGATCCGATACATATCACGATACCTTGTTAACGATACCATACATATCACAATACTTGTAAGTGCTCTTATCTGTGGTGTGTAAGCCATCTTTTTCATAGACAGGATAGTCAAATACCTGGCACATTGATGATTTACAGCTGGCAGTGTCAAGTATGACGCAACAGATGGAAATATTTACTTCTTCACAACTAATTTTCTCTTCTAATTAGTGTTTGGTGTAACAGCCATTACAGTAAACATTTAAGCTATGAATCGATATTTTGTACTTAGCGTGCGACTAAGATCGATACTAGTAACGGTAAGTAAAATATCGCGATCCACCAATGCCTTTGTGTATCGTCCCACCACTAAAAGTTAATCCCCTAAATGCGACTAAATGTTTAAATTCAATGTTGAAACACCTCTGAATTTAGGGGGAATTTGTTTTAAAAAAAGTCCTCATTTTGAACAAAATAACAATTTCTCCCATGTTGCCAAGTGCACTTAGAATCGATACGATAATTTTAGCACCAAGATTGCTTGGGCACACTCTTTGCTGTATATGAATGGTTCTTTGAGAGTCAACCAGGGAAAACTTTCATTGTAACATTTGGGTAGAATGTACTTTGGTGGTCCCTGTTTACTCTGGACTTGATTACTTGGGGCTTATGAGTTATAATGTTGTATATTATCATTATCATTATTATTATTATTATTATTGTGTATGCATTATGATGCATTATCAGCTTTGTTATACATACATTATTCTCTATTATAAGGGTAATGCTATTTTTCAGGGCACTAATTGCAGAAGCCTGAGGTCTTCCATTAACTGCCTGACGAAGGAGGGCAGTTGAAAAGACCGAGGGCTTCTGCAAATGGTAATGACCTGAAAAAGAGCATTACCGTTATTATAGCTAAAATGGATGGAATTTGTTATCACATAAACAAGAAACAACAGTATCGGTTTTGAAACATTTACTGCAATCAACACGAAAGTCACTGACCCCCTTTTACAAATATGGAAGCGTCATAGAACAAACCATATGACGTCACTATTAAACGTGACGTCACTTTCCCTACCCTATGACGTCACCTAACAACGGGCTTGATAATGGCCCGTCGTCTAGCAATATGAGGGCATTAACAAGTTACAGTGGCCCGCTCATTTCTGATAACATGCGGGCGAATTAATGATAATTAATGCTATAATATGTAATATCCTCTGCACGTCCAAACCAGGTTCAAACATTATATCCGACCATATTGTATTAGGGGCAGGTCACGTGACCCCTTTTGGAACTTATACCATATGATGTAGATATATGGAAAGCTCTTGGAAATGTACATTCAACAGGATCACTGAAATAAATCAAAACCACCAAAATAATGACTTTATATAGCCATTTGAAGTTATGTAAAAAAAGTTTTCAGTGATTTTTAACAGTGATTTTCAGTGAGTAACTCAATATACTTGCCCAGTGATGAAAACCCCCAACAGTATGGTATCTGCTTAAAGAGCAGACCCTGATCTCTGGTTTTAACTGGTGGTACCTCCCATGCCTGGTGACCTTCAAGGCTATACAACACAAAGATAAAAGACCTTGTGCATGTAATTTTATAGTTGTTGTGGTACGACCAATTTTTCTGCTTATAATGTAAAGCGTTCATTATCTCGCTCATTTTATTAAGGATTTGTTTTGCTTTTAAATCATTACACTTAACTACATCCAAACAACCAGAGTACAGTCTCCATCGCTGTCATGGGTCAACTAAGCATTGCTGGTAATTTCGGAGAAAATAAAGAATGAACGCACAAGATTTTGATTTACAGAATTCTGAATCTTGGCAGATTGTGTGCTCAAAATCAGCAGCAGTAGAAGAGTAAATGGAAGCTGTACATTAATTCAAAATAATTCAATCCTTTTGTTTTCAGGAGCACTTGTCCTACTTCCATTTTGTTGGCCGTGTTATTGGCATGGCAATTTTTCATGGTCACTACTTGGACGGTGGCTTTACCATGCCCTTCTACAAGCAGTTGCTAGGGAAACCTGTTGCTCTTGACGACCTGGAGAGTGTGGATCCAGAGCTGCACAGAAGTCTTGTGTGGATGTTGTAAGTTGTCCGTAGAATTGTACACATTGCACATGTTCATTGATTGTTTTCAGTGTTGTGGCCTTTCGGGGATTCTGGGACATCATAGGGCCCCAGTACTTGTGCAACATGTTAAAAACTAGGGGCGGGGGTTTGGGGAGGGCTTGAAGTTTGATTCTATGGTATTTGAATCTCAGGGACCCTTTTAACTTTTAACATTAGGGTTATATGATGAGGACGAGAACGAGGACTTCCATCCTTTATTTCCAACACTGATGTTGCTGGAGCTGCCTCCAGGAGGATGTGGTAGTTACAGTGCCAGCTCATCCTTCCGGGTACTCATTCACTGCTTGGTGAACAGAGGCACATTTTTAACAAGGTCACCTGCCCAAGGAGACGCCACATGTGTTACATGTGCTTCAGTGTGGGGCAGAACCGAAGCCCTAGAAACCTTTAAGGAGACAAGCTGCCGAAGCATGTAACTTGGTTTATGTTTTTGCATCCTACTTGATGATGTGGATCTTGCTCATCCTTTCAATCACAGGTTTGCCTGGGTCCTACAACGTTATTTACATGCAGTGATAAGTCTGGAACAATGCTGTGGCATGAGACACTCCCTCGATGACAGGTTTCTGACTGGGTCTTTCACTGTTGAGTCGAGCTAATGATGATTGTTCTCTTCTTCCAGGGATAACAACATTGAGGCAGTGCTGGACCACACCTTCTCGGTGGAACACAACTCCTTCGGGCAGGTCCAGGAACATGAACTCCGTCCAGGGGGAAAGGTTATCAAGGTCACAGAAGAAAACAAGAAGGAATATGTCAGGTCAGTCTAAGTGTCAGGTTCTGTGCGCTACGTAGACCAGACTTTTAAAGAACATGGATTACAAATGCACCAAATCCCAAAAACTTAAATGTGAAAAAATAGAGAAAAATGTAAAGCAGTGCTGATTTTTCCCCCCTCCAAACAGAAATAAGTAAAATGTTAAAGCACCTCATTTACTGTCGCTATCAATATGAATAAATTATGTAAAATAATATCATTGAAATCGGTTAAATTTATGTTAAAACGTCAAAACACAATGTTTTATCACGAATCGCAAGAGGAAATAGAAAAATATGTTTGTGTTATTATTTATATTTCAACCGTCCAGACCGAAAAACTGTAAACCGAAAAAAGAAAAGAAAAAGGTCTGGCCTTAATTCCATGTAATGCATTAATATGGACCTTTGTTCATGTGTGCATGTTCATGTTATCGACCACAGACCGGCCCTGACATCATTTCCCAGGCCCTCAAGATATCTGATATGCCTGGAAACGACTTTAATCTAATACTGAGTGTGTATTCTTGAAGCAAACTGGTGATGAAATGAGAAAATGTAGGCAGCTTACGTGGCAACAGTACTGATGAAGAATGTTGCTGTATGTAATCTCTATTGTGTTAATGACAAAAAAAACACACGTTATCATGGGAACTATCGTCTAATTGTAGAAAACAGATGTGGTAAATTATTCCCCAGCTGCACATAGCTTACTCACAGCAGATCACATTACATCCATTACCAGTTTTAAACAGCAATTGCACTACCCCTGGCTTGTTTTTCATCCAATTCCAATTCCAGTTCAACAATTAGTCTTTCTGCTTCTCATGTACTCGACAATAGCATGGCACACTACCTCTGTACTTTGTAAACACGATCTGTAGCACATGGGGCGGGCCGGGAGATATATTTAGATGATTGCCACAAGACGAAGGCAATGTGTTATCAGTGAAAAATGAGAATAGAAAGTTATGTATCTAAACTGTTGTTATAGGGTCTAGTTGTACAAAATTATGGTTTACTTGAGCTATTTCTGTCCTTGCACCCTGGCCTACCCTGAAGCACTGGGAACATCTGTGCAGCCTCATGCTGGCCTGTACCGTATCATTGGCCCACTGCTTGGAATGGGTGTGGCAGGCTTATAAACATGTGCTAATCGTTCATATTATTCCAACAATCCCTGCCAAGTATTGCAATAAGATAAAACAAATTGTGGATCATGTGGTGATGCACACCTTCTCCTGATTGTTGGTATAATATCTGTTTTATGTTAAGTACACATAAAGACTTAGATATCCGAGTTCACAAAGAACATTTTTATTTTCCAGTTGATGTATGGTACTGATGAAATTAGGATTTGTTACCTTACACTTTACCTTACGCATTACCATACCGTATGCATTACCGTACCTTACGTATTACCTTTACCTTACTCATTACCTTACACATTACCTTACACATTACCTTTACCTTACTCATTACCTTACACATTACCTTACGCATTACATTACACGTTACCTTTACCTTACTCATTACCTTACACATTACCTTACGCATTACATTACACGTTACCTTACGCATTACCTTACACATTACCTTTACCTTACACATTACCTTTACCTTACACATTACCTCACACATTACCTTACGCATTACATTAGACGTTACCTTACGCATTACCTTTACCTTATGCATAACCTTATGTATTACCTTACACTTTACCTTACACGTTACCTTACGGATTACATATACCTTACTCATTACCTCACGTATTACCTTACGCTTTACCTTACACGTTCACTTACACATTACCTTTACCTTATGCATTACCTTTACCTTACACGTTACCTTACGCGTTGCCTTACGCATTGCCTTACGCGTTACCTCACACGTTACCTTACGCGTTACCTTACTCGTTACCTTACGCGTTACCTTACTTGCCTTTTGTTATTTAGGTATTTAAATATTTTTTCCCCCTGTTTCCATGGCAAGAAGTTTGACTTTGACTACATCTTTAAAACTAATTCTTCCTTGAAGTTCCGAATCCCAATTCCATGGTATTGTTTAGATAGCTCAATAACTACTCTTGCATACTGACAGACAGATCAGATAGAAATTCTTCATCAAGTGGACCTAACAGGCAGATAATTTGTTCTCTCGAATTTGTAGGGGTCGGGGGGATTTGTCATCTTCTGATGACTCTTGTTTGTCCAGGTTCAGCAGGAGAAACAAGCCCAAGCCTACTATCACTTAAAGATCTGTACTTGTGTGTTTAGAATATGATGAAAAGACAAGTCATCTAGTACAAGTCAGGTGTTTTTTTGTTGCTTTCTTTGGTGAGAGTTGGCTGTGATGTTGCTGGTCTTCCACTGACTAGACTAGGAACATATCAGTGAGCATCTTCTAAGTGTTTTACATAGTTTGGGAGATAGGCATTGATCGTCATAACTTGTTATTTTATTTGAGGTTCCTGGTTTCAATTGCCAACTATTTTTTCAGGTTGTATGTGAGCTGGCGATTCATGCGCGGCATAGAGGCCCAGTTCTTGGCATTACAGAAGGGTTTCAATGAAATCATTCCCCAGCACCTACTACGACTCTTTGATGAACGTGAATTGGAGGTGAGCTGACAGCAATGGCAAAAATAAGGGCTAAATGCTCTGTTTATAATCTGAATTATTTTTATCTTATTGCCTGAATAGGGTTGAAAAAAATTAATCCCTTTTAGGCTTTTAATTTTAATTGCAGCAATATTAAAAAAAGTATACTATTAATCCTTAAAATGTGGATTATGTTAGATGAATTTTGACTTCCCACTGATATTTCTACATTACCAACGATTTGATCCATGCTGTTTCTTTTCACTAAATTACCCTAAGTTTGTTGAGGAACTCTTCTGTAACAGGTTTTTTGTTTTGTTACAAAATTAGTCAGCCTCGAGATGTCATGCCTTGTCCCATGTGTTCATATGGTGTAGTGTCACCATTTCAAGAACAGACTGAAAAATTATCACATCATGGCCTACCTCACATTATACCCTGCTCAGATAACTGCCATGGCTTGTCTGTTGTATGTGTGACTAGCCTAAGGCAACACTCACTCATCCTTATTGCATTGTTTCCTCAGCTTATGATCGGTGGTCTTGGAAAGATTGACATTGATGACTGGAAGAAGCACACCCGACTAAAGCATTGTACCGCTGAGAGCAACATCTGCAAGTGGTTCTGGCGGGCAGTCGACAGCTTTGATGATGAAATGCGCGCTCGACTGTTACAGTTTGTAACGGGCAGCTCAAGAGTACCATTGCAGGGATTCAAAGCTTTACAAGGTATGTTCCCACGAATTAAAGAGTCATCCAATGTATGTACATGTACAGAGACTGGAGGAGAATATGAAATTAGTATTTTTGGACAAAGCAAAATATGGTGAAGTGATACTGTGTTTTAATTTTACAGCCCCTGTGTTAATGTCTTTATTCTACAGTGGATTAGATTCCCAGTATCCAAAGTCTGTCATAGTGCCAACTCCGATAGGGATGATTGTTGACAGCTGCTGCTGAATGCAGATGATACATTTCTTGTAGCTGACGATGACACCACCACAAGGTGTGTGTGTGGGTGTGGGTGTGTGTGTGTGTGTGTGTGTGTGTGTGTGTGTGTGTGTGTGGGTGTGTGGGTGGGTGGGTGGGTGGGTGTGGGTGGGTGTGGGTGGGAATAACCTGTTGCCCCACTGTGAAAGGTGCCACAATTCACTGGACAGAGTTGCATCACATAGGTGTTCGAGAAATCCTCAGTGTTGCTTGGTTTGTCAGCACCATGCTTATACTTCTGAGTTTCACCAAAGTGGTAAACATATAACACCTGCATCACTTTCCTCCCACAAGCTAAGAATCTAACAGTGTGATTTAGAATGATTTTGAAATAAACTGAAAGGATGCCTCGGAAAAACATAAAAAATACACAGTATTTTAAATCTATGTGAAACTACAAATTTGAAGTAGCATATCCTGAGAATGATGCTAGTTGTGTGTTTGTGTCTACCTTTGGATCACGTTGATGCCATGATGGCTGTCATATAAGCTACCCTCTTCAGTCTCCTTCAATCCACTGGTATGTACGTCAGGCCGGCACAAGGATGACAATCTTTTGTAGATATGAAACCTACAGGTCTGTTAGCCAGCATTTGTTGTTTCTTGGTTCAGGCAGCCCCGTCATCTAAGCACTAAACTTGATGAGCAGAGTTGTATTCCTTAGTCATGCCAGGATCTGCTGATTTTGGGTATGCCCTGATTATGATCCTTGTCCTCACAGCAAAATACCATGCACATGCATTTAACCAGCTGCCTCACTTGGGTCTTTCTACAACATTGAGCTCTAACAGTGCAGAGGGGTTGTCAAGTGGTTAAAGAGTTGATCACCTTTCAGGTCTTGTTTGATTACCACATGGGTACAGTGTGTGAATCCTAGAACTAGCTATCGATAAAGATCATAGAGATCGGTAATTGCTAACTAAATATCAATCAATTATAAAAAAATATTGGAGATGAAAATTTAAGCAGATATGCAAGAAGATCCCGAAAGAAATCAACTTATTTGGTGAGCAGTGACACACATATGCATGGATTACTTTGTGGACATGTGAGATATAACATTTGCTGTTTGCCTTTTATTTTCATCACAATAATTGATGTAAGTTTTTATCGATTACAACAATTTCATATCGATAATTGTTAATATTTCTTCCCATTGACGATAATTTGGATTATTGATCCTTTTAGCCAGCCCTACCTAGTGAAGCCCAGTGAGTTCCCTGATGGGATAGTCCTTTGAACTCATTTACACGAACAGCGCGGCACAACTGACATACTGTGGAGTAAGTCCAACTAACTGTTTACATGTACACGGGTCCAGTACTGTATTCTCTCTGTGCAGGCTCAACTGGTGCTGCCGGACCCCGCCTCTTCACGATACATCAGGTGGACGTCCAAACAGACAACCTGCCCAAGGCTCACACATGGTAGGTGGCCATCTCAGGACGGAGCACATTTGCAAATAGTAGCAGCACATTGCTTGGTTTAGACCAAGCGTATACCAGATGTATAATACAGCCTGTTTTCTTCACCACGTTTTTATTTTTGACAGCTTCATATACATCAAGTAATTATTGTGAGCTGCTTGAGTTTTTGATCACTTCCTCTAAGCCTGTCATTATTTATTAAATTATGGTTTGTTAACTCTGCTAGTAAAAATGTTAAATTGTGTTGTAATTATAAAATACTACTGATGGTGCTCTTGACAGAAATGACCAATTACCCATTTGTTCATTACTGTAAGAATGCTTTTTACATAGCCCTTCAAAGGGATATTTAAGGTGCAGAGTTATGTAAACAATCTTTGCTACAGCAATTTTAACTCTCGTATTTTAACAAAATTATGACACTCGTAGAACTAATATCACTTTGGGCAAGTGGGCCCAGATGTTTGCTTCTCGAATTATGTATTATATTTGTTATATAGTATATGATGAATGACTAACATTTCATCTTCATCTTTTCAGCTTTAACAGAATTGACATCCCTCCTTATGAGAACTACGAGAAGTTTCTCAGTAAATTGACTTGTGCTGTTGAAGAGACATGTGGTTTCGCGGTAGAATAACATGAGCCACAAACGTTGTTGTGGTACAAGCGCCGTCAAATCTTGACTTGCAGTAGTGCTAAAGAGACCTAACAATGGCAGTCAAGTGGAAAGTGTCTGGTCCCGGAAGGAAACAAAACAGTTTTCAACGTGGACCAACTTTTCTGCCCAGTGAGTTGTGATTTGGAGAACACAGAAGGGCCTTGTGTACATGGACATAATCGCAATGTACCCATTGCCGCATAAACTGCGGACGTGCGACCCTGTGCTCCCAGGTTGTGGGTGAACAAACAATGCAAGACATATTTTAACACCATTTGTAGATAGCTGTTGGTGTTCTGAATCCAGCATTGCATCATAGATACAGTCTGTGTACAGTGTGTGTGGCCACTGTACATGTATTTATACGACCATCGTGATCCAACGTATAGGGTCTGTTGTAGAACACCTCAGTGTAGAGCAGTATGCAAGTCTCCTTGCCCACCTGGTTTATGCTGTATGTAGCCGTGTGAATCTGAATAGCATTCTACAGATGACTGTGCTTGGGTGATTGCATATGATTGCATATTGCAATGTGTGAAATCAACTTTGTGAGTGGGTATTTTATGAATGGGACATCCATACCCATCAGTTATTTGTCCAGCGAGTTCCATCGAAATGCCAACATCTTCAACTAGTTCACATCTTCCAAAGTATGAAATCTGCCAAAGATTGTAGACATGCACATGTTTCTCTTTGGTGAATCTGTCCATTAATGATAATAAAAGCAATAATATTTAAGTTGATTTTGTGAATACCTCACATTATTTTGTGGAATATGCATTGCTGATAACTCTGGTATTTTTGAGTCCCTGTCTGGCATAGTGCTAGGTGGAAGAGATAGTGTATGAGAAGTATGGCGCCATGACTCTGGGACATCTGCTCGCCAACAGGGGTTGCCGACACACGGTAGTCTGGTGTGTAAATGTGCCGATAGGCTATGTACTAATACCTCATGTAGCCATCAGCTTCAGTGTTTGGTGAAATGTTGTCTGTTGTACAGAAAGTTCAGAGAGTATTACATTTTACCTGTAATTTGTCAAGTCATTCGAACAGTTAGTGAAAGGAATGAGTGTATACTAAATGACAAATATGTAGTTTAAGTTTCAGTTGTTTCAAATATAATTTAAAAAATTACATGATTTATATGTAATTATATTTCAGTTTTATAGTCCCACTGCTATGTAGGTACAAGTAAGTATAGTATTCACAAAAACATTAACAGTTGTAGAAAAGCACAAATATCGTAAATCTGACATCTGTATGAATGACATGGCCAAGATGGCTTGAATACAACACTGCAGGTTTTTACAGAATCGTTTTACTTGACACACAGGATGCCCATCAAGCCTTTAAAGAAATCCTCTTATTTTTAATACTCAAGTCATACAAATATGATATTTAATGATTGTACACGTGTATGTTTTCTTATGTACCATTTCTGCTTCTCTGATGCGTGGTATGTGATTGTCAACATACTGGTATCTGTTTAACACATCCGATTTTAAATTTGGTTAATACTTTGTGATTTTATGTAGTATTTTTTATGAATTCTCCCATTATACCTTACCAGTGTTTTAGCAGGATAAGGGTGATGGTTGGGTGGTGTCACTGATTTCTGTCAGTACTTGAGTTGGTATGTGCAACTTTGATGTCTTATGTTCAGAATGTCCCTTCCCTCATCCTTTTCTCAGAGTGCAGGACTACTGTCCACTTTGTTTGAAATCACTGGAGACAGTGCATGAACAAGTTTGAAACTTGAAACTTGATAGGATTTCTGAATGGCCTAAAATTTAAGAATCTTCTTTTGTTTTGGAGAGTGCCTTTGAAAAACACTACTGTAGTGGATGGGTGGCTTGACAGTGGAATTTGAATTCTCCATTGGGATCTTGATTACAAATTGGGTAGCCACTTGTCTACCTGTAGCCATCCCTGAGTATTTCTAAACCACAGACATACACTTGGTAATTTTGATTTCTGAATTTAACAGATTTCTTACTCCAGTGGTATTACCTAATGTCAGTGAAGGATTTGAACTTGTATTGATACGACGGTAGGAAATGTTAGATGAAATTCACACACCATCATTAAGGGCCAGTAATCTGCTAAGGTATGTAAGAAATATTGCACTTCCACATGACTTTTAGAACTTAGTTCCAGAATGCTTGTAGGATGTGAGAGCTTGGTAGCATGTGTTAACAGCTAGATGTCTAGCGAGCACTGGATACAGGAATTTAACCACAGTTCACGTAATACTGTTATGACATTCACATTCTCATTATCAAGTCTTTGAAACATCCTATTTTGATTTCAATCTGACTCAGTTCTTTCTGCATCCTGCATCTGAACAAATTCTGCTGTAAATTGCTTTTCATAAAATAATTTTGTGGCATATTAGCTACCTTACTACCTTTTCTACCTGCATTTATGAAATGGTATGTTCCAAGCTTAGGTTTAGATCATTCCATGTCGTAATACAGGTAGAAGCATTACCTTATTTATACTGACATAATTGTATATCATTTGATTCGGTTTTGCCTTGAACTAATCTCAAGGCTATATAAGCATTGTGAAAGGAGATCCTTGTAAAACTGTTTACTATTAGTGATCTCACTTGATGTACATGGTATTTTTCCGTTTTTTTAAACTCATGTGTGGTTATATCTGATTATTCATTGATTTTGTGAGATGGGTTATCTCCCTTTAGACATAAAATCAACCCAGATATGTAACATTTGTTTCATTGACAACTTTTGGTAAAGAAAGTAATGAAATATTCTTGGTGGCTGAAACCTATTTGGCTTGAGAAACTGTTTCAAACTTTGGAGTAATGTGTAACATTTATCCATCTTCAATTTCATATTTTGTGTTTGGACTGACTGATGTGTGTAAAGGGAGAAAACCCATTAATGATTTGTGTGCCTTTCACTTTGAACTGTACCTCAAGGGTCTCGACATGCTCAAAGAGTTATGAATCTGTTAGTGTGTATTGCCAGCCCCTCTCCCAAGAATCTTTCTTACTGTAAAAGTGATCACTCAAAGACATGCCGTGTCATTTTCAAGGACAACCAAGATAAAAAAAATTATGTGCAAAAAGATAATTTCAGACCATTTATCATATTTCCATGAGACAGTTTGAAATAAATCTGTTTGCTGTCAATTAAGTAAGTTTTGTCATGTCATAGGAATTTCTTCCGCATATTTGGTCATCTATATATTTTTCGTATCCGTAATCTCAAGCATTGATTACATGATTCAGTACACAAACAGAATCGCAATTCCTGTTTCAAGTCTCTTTCACGTACAGTTACACAAACATATTTGTATCGAAATAAGTACGGTCCATGGGTCGCCATTCAGTGATGATGGATTGGATGTGTTTTGAAAAATCAGGATCAAAATGCTTTTGATACAATTTTCATACATTGTATAAATGCATTCACATGTTTTACCATGTTTTTCAACTCTGACCACCTTTAGATCAGGAGATATCCCTACGAGATTACTGTCGTGTCCTAGTCACTGGAGCCGACAATGTATGTTCCATCTTGGACTGCTCCGCGCCTCCCACGTCTGTCTGCCTTCACGTCCATCTGTCTAAAGCCCTCCTCTGTACAGTCCACACTTCCAATGTAATATTTTTTTCCAATAAGTGAAATAAATGTGGTCAGTTTTTACTTTGGAGTTGCTTCCTTTATTAGTTTACTACGGATTTCACACTCCGTGTATACCTCTCTGCAGTACTCCGGCCATATGACGGTAGCCTGTGAAATAATTGAGTCTGGACCAGACAAACCAGTGATTGATATTGTGAGCAATCTCCAACCCCATCCAGGTAGTATAACACAGGGGTCATGAGTTTGTCAACTTTGACTATCAAAACATACCAGGGTTTCACTTTTTTGCCTTATAAATACAAGGGGTACTCCGGCTTGTGGTATGAAACTTAACACAGGATGCATAAAACCCCATATACCCAAAATGCTACAACAAATTTATCTTACTGATTAGGGATGGTGGGGTAGCCTAGTACTTGAAGCATTTGCTAGTCACGCTGAAGACCCGGGTTTGATTCTCCACATGGGTACAATGTGTGAATCCAATTTCTGGTGTCCCCCGCCATGGTATTGCTGAAATACAGCGAAAAGCGGTGTAAAACCACACTCTCTCTCTTACTGATAAGTTTTAATTGAAAAAGAATTAAAACAAGTTCAAAATTGATAGAAAACAGCACAATCAAACAGCTATGTTACGTGATGTTCATTGACTCTGAATAAGCATGCAGCCTTTGGCTTTGAAGCGGGTATAAGGGATTTATTCTCCCATCTCAGAAATTTGTTTCCCTCCCATGGGGTGGATACATCATATCTTATCAAGATCACATGAAGAAACAAGATCTCCTCATTCGTGACATGAAGGTATGATAATAGATTTTTATCTGTTCATTTCTATTTGCTTTCAAATTTGAAACAACTGCAAAATTTTAATGGTTTGAATCAAACCTTTGAGTAATTTCGTATGTCCTTGAGACAGTTACAAAAAGTCTGTGTAAGTGAGGGGGTAGACTGAACAGATTCTAGCAATATTCCACCCTCCAAGGCACACCAAGATTGGTCCTGAGACTTTGTACCTGTGTGGTGTATTGAAACTGGGCCTTCTGTGCAAATGTATGAACTGAATGTCACAACAATATGGCATCATACATGACATACATCATGTACAGTCAGTTTGCTGTAAAATCGTACCAATGAAATGCAAAACATATGTATATCCGAAGGCAAAAATTTGTCTTAATGGCATGAAATTTATTTATTTGTCCATACCAACTTGTATAATTTCAGACAGTCATGAAGTAGAGAAAAAGTTGATTTACAAACTATCATGTAAGTTGTTGGTGGTTTAATGTCTGGTGTTACAAGGTCTGTGCAAAGTCGCTGTTACTGTTAACTGAAATAATGATTTGACCGACAGGTGTATGATCTCTTACAATATGACGCTTTAATGCCGGCCTCAACTTTGTCAATGCACCCCCCTCCGACTTACAATAAACGTGAATAGCAAGGTTTCCACATCGGTGAATTATAATGGTATATTGAGCTCGTTCTGTTTATTAAATTATTTGCATTTGAAATTAGCTGAATAACAATACCAAGAAGAAGAATATTTTACAGATTCTCATTGTATATTCCGTTTAATAACTTCTACAGAAAGATACGCTTCTGATTTAAACTTTTCATTTGGCAAGATTTTATTACAGGAAAGACAGTAGCAGGTTGATCTGACGCGGGCGAATGTAGGGCTGTTCAATTTACAGTGCAGAACCCCTTGTAACAACAGTCATTTAACCACCAACAAGAGTTTGTTAAACAACTTTTTCTACCCCTCATGACAATGTCTGAAATTATGGTGACGAGTTGGTATAGACAAATAAATAACTTTCATGTCATTTGCTTTCAGATAAATATTTATTTTGCATCAGTAATATTTCACAGCAAACGGCCAATCTTGATCGGCCCCTTGAAATGTCCACTTTCACCTGCATTGATAACAAGACACATCTTATAAAATATATATTTATTATCAAATGAAAGACACAATAGGATAAAACAAATGTTGCCACACAGTCATGCCAGAATTGTTCATGCCCACAAAGTGATCCTTAATTAAAAAAGAAGCCATTAACATATGGGCAAGCAGGACTACACTTATTGATAACCATGGTAACACTAAATCTATTTGTTGGGAATTTTGTGATGTTCAGGCGACAACACAGAACATCAATGTGTTTCATCTATTTCCTTAAATTCAGAATATCCTGATATATAAAACTTGGGTGCAGCAAGTCTATATGAAAGAATAAACCAGAAAATCTGATAAGTTTATGCTACGATGTTTATGGTAGTCTATATTCCTAAAGGGGTGGTACCTCATAAGAATGTAAAGCAGGAATAATGAATGTATTCATCTCAAATTTAATCCTTGTAAATCTCAGGGTATGATCATCGTATATATCAACATACCATAATATAAAATTATCATGAAACAAAATGACTTGGTATATGGTGACGTGCAGGTGAGCTAAATGTGTATTGCAAGTTTTATGACATTTCACATAAAATAGTTTTATAGATGAACTCATTTCCAAACTGGTTCCACAAAGAATTAATATCATTCTAATGTGTATGTTGAATGTCTTTACAATTTGAAATGTGATCTTGACAGCGTCAAATTGACCTTAAACATTCAAAAGGTTCACTTAAGGCTAATTATATTGTTAGTTCTGGAAACGGGAAGGGACACAATTTGCCACATTTCTTTCAAAGAATGACTGAATTTGAACATCCCAAATTCCCAATAAATAATGTGTGAGGGAGATGACAGGGGATGGGCTGGGAGGATAACATTAACAAGCACTGTTGTAATTGTAGAACCGTTTGCTGATATACCTACAAACAAGAAGCTGTAGAAAGTGATAGACTCATACACATTACCATCAGGTATCAAATATATACTTCCATTATAAATAAATGACCAATAGACCAATACAAGGCACAGACATTCATGTTTTGTTTCTCCCCTATAATATCGTAGACAGCATCCTGCAGCACCCTCCGGGTTCTAATGGATGATGAGCACTGACAGGTGGCACCAAGAAGTAGTGGTAAACGTGAAGATGGTCTCTGTTCCACATACAGCTCTATTAACATCTGATAACTGGTAACTAATTAAATACAACAATACAAACCTTGAAAAGTAATTAATGTCTGCAAATATCTTGCAAACTCGTTAATTTCTAACAAATATTGTGAATTTGAATCAGTTTACAACCGCTGACCAACAAGCATCTTACTTGACCTAATGTGCATCTACTTTGACACCTTATCGGTAACCAACCAGCAACATCAATCTTGTGTTTCATTGCTGAATATTTTCAGTGTATTCGATAATTGGAATGTATTGAAACACCCCAGGATGGCTGTGGCCAGGAACTAACTCAGAAGACAAACAAGGGAATAAGTCTCGGTACCAAAAACACTTAGTTTAGTCCCTTGAATGTCATACTGACATTTCTGTATGAAGCATTGGAAGATTGAGACGGATGTACTGTGGAGATGATACAAGATGACAAACACCATGCACCAGATGTGACCAAATTGCTCAGTACAGACACTTGTGGCTTCTAATGTCTAGGTGACAGAATCAAGAATGAGACAAGAAGCATACAGTCTGTAACAAACAACAATCAAAACAAGGTTACACTTTGCATAGATAGAATTAGAAAATACTGACAATTCTTCAAACTATTTCAAGGTGTATGTCAGTCTATAACAAATCACTATCTACCATGAACACAATATATCACAAAAGTTGCATAAATTCTGACAATTTTCATCAAACATATGTCTGGAAAACAGAACAAAACAGAACAAAAAGAAGCCTGTCTTTCGGTGGTAAAATGTCTTAAAAGGCCTCTGACCCCTAGAATATGAAGCGGACATGACAATAATTCATTCGGGATTGTAAGCAATCATTTACCTCTTAATTTGTAACATGTTCTTTAAAAAAAATGTATTTTCTTAGAGCAACTACTTAAGGTGCAGTGTCTTGACCAAACAATGAACAAAACATGTTTAACATATACAGCTCCCTGACGGCACCACTCTGACCCAAGCGATTTGATCTGATGACACAAACTAGTTTACAATTTGTAAATACTTTGGCAGGAAATTACAAGCTACATATAAAACATCTAAATGCAGATAAGTTATGATAATACTAATGGTGTATATTTTGGCATTAGGCTTTTAATACATTTACAAAACCCTGACTTCAAAGTCATGCAATGTCATACAAACATTCTATTATTGCATGTGAAACAGCACTATAACAGATAAAGACCTCATCATACAAAAACAGCACTAAAATAAAAAAAAGTATTGATTGTGTGAAATAGCACGAGCTTGTCGTAAGTGGACAAGAATGTTTGGATGGGCAGTGAAGTGGAGACATGCATACATGAGTTCGGTAAGAACCCATGATTGTAAACACAAGGGGAAAACTAGCGAACTTTCGACTTTCAATAAACTTTCTGGAACTAAAGAATCATAGAAGCAAAACGTCTGGACACAATAACACCTTAAACTGGAACACTCATCACTCATACAGAGTAAGTCACCATCAGGTGTTAATCCACCAGTGCTGCAACACTCCATTTGAACACTATGTAGAGCTGGCTAAAACTAGTCTTGTGACTAGAAACATTTTCTTGAACATGTTAAACTTTGAAATGTGCTAAAATTACTTTGGGTCATTTAGAATATTAAACTGCCTTGAATTTCAGTCAATGCTTTATTTTGTTCATAACTTTTAGATAACATTTTCCCATCACAACAAAGTCAAGAAATCTGTATTGAGGGAGGGTATAAGAGAACATTACAATTGCAACAACATAACATAACAGTGGCATGATACGGGTCTATGTATCGATACATATGATATTTGAGTTATGATACGATGCATATTGCAATACTTCTTCATGTTTTAAATGTCATGGCTAACATAAGGTTGTTGCTTTCAACCAATTTGCGTTAACTAATAGCCATTGGAATGAGCATGTTGATTTGTGACAGACAGTAAGATAACATTAGCCTGCATAGTTACCAGGCTTGGTTATAAATATTATTTCATATATTCATTTTTTTAAATTGATACAGAAGCGGAACATGAATCGATCAATGGGAAAGGGTATCTAATACTATCTACCATGTATCAAATTGTCAGGTGTAAATTGGCAGCCGATACCTCGGTGAATCATGATGCCCTTGTATAGCACAAGTATTTCAGCAAATACAATACTATTGTAAAGGACACAATGCCCCCAAAGGTGAGCCCTAACAAACAGATATTATTTTGTAACAAAGTAAAGCCAACAAAACCATTTAAGTTTGTTTGTTTGTTGTTTAACGCTGCTCTCAGCAATATTCTAGCCATAAAACAGCGGTCTGTAAATAATAGAATCTGGACCAGAAAATCCAGTGATCATAATGAGCATCGAGAGCCTGACCAACCGATCCTATTAGTCGCCTCTTACGAGAATCATAGTCGCCTTTATGGCAAGCATGGGTTGCTGAACTCATATTCTAACATGGTCTTCAGGGGTCAAAACCATTTAAGTGTGAGTGAGTTGGGTTTAACGCCGCTTTTAACAGTATTCCAGTTATATCACGGCGTGTCAGCTTAATGTGGGAGGAAAGCCCGAAGTGATGCAGGTCTCAGACGTTTACCACTTCGGTGAAACCCACGAGCACGGGTATGGTGCTGACAAACCTAGAAACATAATCGGGGCGAACCGGGATTCGAACCCACAATCATAGGTTTCTGGCATGCCAAAGGGACGCGACTCTGCACAGCGAATCGCGGCGCCTTAGACGACTGGGCCACCCGTGCCTCCCAAAACCATTTAAGACTTCATATGTTGCCTGATAAAGGTGCATGCATAACTCTGTGTGAGTACAGGTTGGGGGGTTCTTATTGAGCAAGTATAACATTATGGCATCCAGTGGTGGGAGAGATCATGCCGTGGCTTTGGAGGGTCGCGCCGGTTGAGCCTGAGGAACATAGGTCCTGTCATGCAGCTGCTGCAGTGCATCATGCCGTGGCATCAGAGGGTCGCGCCGGTTGAGCCTGGGGAACATAGGTCCTGTCATGCAGCTGCTGCAGTGCATCCTGCACCACGTCCGGGAAGTGATCCAGCACCATGCTGGGGCTGATGAGGATTTCATTGAAGCTGTCAGGGGCAACCCATGAAGCGCAGTAGTCCGGGGTCCCGCCACACAGTCTGGAAAGTAGGGGAGGTAACCAACATTAGAATACACAGTCTGGGATGTAGAGGAGATAACCAACATTAGAATACACATTCTGGGATGGATGGGAGATAACCAACATTAGAATACACAGTCTGGGATGTAGGGGAGATAACCAACATTACAATACACAGTCTGGGATGTAGGGGAGATAACCAACATTAGAATTCACAGTCCGGGATTAAGGGGAGATTACCAACATTAGAATACACAGTCTGGGATGTAGGGGGGATAACCAACATTAGAAAACACAGTCTGGGATGTAGAGGAGATAACCAACATTAGAATACACATTCTGGGATGGATGGGAGATAACCAACATTAGAATACACAGTCTGGGATGTAGGGGAGATAACCAACATTAGAATACACATTCTTGGATGTAGGGGAGATAACCAACATTAGAATACACATTCTTGGATGTAAGGGAGATAACCAACATTAGAATACACAGTCTGGGATGTAGGGGAGATAACCAACATTAGAATTCACAGTCCGGGATTATGGGGAGATAACCAACATTACAATACACAGTCTGGGATGTAGGGGAGATAACCAACATTAGAATACACAGTCTGGGATGTAGGGGAGATAACCAACATTAGAATACACAGTCTGGGATGTAGGGGAGATAACCAACATTAGAATACACAGTCTGGGATTAAGGGGAGACAACCAACATTAGAATAAACAGTCTGGGATGTAGGGGAGATAACCAACATTAGAATACACATTCTTGGATGTAGGGGAGATAACCAACATTAGAATACACATTCTTGGATGTAGGGGAGGTAACCAACATTAGAATACACAGTCTGGGATGTAGGGGAGACAACAAACATGAGTGAGTGAGTAAGGTTTTACACTGCTTTTAGCAATATTTCAGCAATATCACGGCGGGGGACACCAGAAATGGGCTTCACACATTGTACCCATATGGGGTATCGAACCCAGGCCTTCAGTGTGACGAGCAAGCGCTTTAACAACTAGGCTACTCTACCACCCCATAACCAACATGATCATAGACTGATTATATTATTATATACCCAGGTATCTGAGACTAGAACCAAGGTAGCTAGATCAATGGCAGCCACATACCCCCCTTCCTCTGCCTCCTCGATGTGCAAGATCTGCCCTGGGGGAGTCATCAACCATTCAGTCTCTGTGCTGCTCTGGATCACTGCTTCTCGTAATGCTTGCTGACAGGAGACAAAGTTTGTCAGCGATAAATACATCACAATAGATTATTCCAATTGCCAATAAGTTTTGCGAAACACTCCAAATATACCATCATCTTATAGGATCAAGTGAGCAGGTGGGTTTATATCTAATTGAAACTTTAAGTCTTATTCTTTGATAAATATTAAGAGACACATACTTGAATTATTTCTCACAAAGACAGTTTTAAATGAGTTAAACAACAAGCAAGAAGTGATTATGATGGGTAAAGACTGGTTGCGGGTGTGATAAGCAACATAGTGTAAGATTGTTACAATGTATGAACAAAATCACCCCGAATCAAGCAAGTATGAACTAGATAAAATGAATTTCTGTATTTTATCTCTGTCATAATCATTGCTGTAATTTTGGTATTTATTTTAATGACCATTCCATATAACACATGAAATAAAAAATAATTAATAAAAATGCCAACTAAAATAGAGAGAAAACAATGAGATAAATACAACATGCAACCTCTGCTTACAAACAGTTCTCAAACTGAACATGCAGCAGGCAAAAACAGAACACCTTCAACCACAATGATTTTATAATCAGTCAATCCATGAAACAACATTGTCCCTTTACCCTAAGAGGAGTTAAGTTTGTGGCAGTATTAATATATGAATGTCAGAGTCTACAGTGTTATCATATCTGAGGAAGATTGGGAACACGATGACATATGACAACATGTAACAACATACACAGTAGGGATGTCACGACTCACCAATACATTGGTGCATCGATAATCTTTAAATAATACAATGTGATACACACTTACATGAACCGACTCATATTTTCACACATTCATTTGAACTATTATACTATCATGATTACTTAGTATTCTGAATGTCAAAGTGATCACTGCCTCTTTCTAACTCGTTTTCACTTGTTTTATGTAATGTATTGATTGAAAAATGAGACATTTGTATTTTCAAATATGGTACAAGATATTCAGGAAGATTCAAGCCCTGTTAATAGTGTTTATGGCTTATAAAATACAAACATTAACACAAAACTGCCTCGAATTCCTGTGATCGCATTAGGAGATCAGTGACTCATCACACGGTGACATTACACAGAAATCATACCAACAAGACATGTCCCAGTGGTGCAATTACAACCAGCATGCGCACAACATCGTACAGGCTCAAGATGACAAACAAAGCTTTTCTTAACAGTAAATGTTTTAAACAAAATTTGAAAAGTTGATATAAGCAGAAACATTGTTCATGAATAAAACCCCTCTATGAAGGGACTGTTCATTTTCTAGAGGGGGTGAAGGGTGAGATTACCCTTAGGACTGTATCATATTCTGCTGACACTCCATTTTATGTATTCCCCGGCCGCGTCATACCAAAAGATGTTAAAAGATGGTACTTGTTGTTACCCTGTCTGGCCCTCGGCATTAAGGGGCTAAAACAAGGACTGGTCGGCTCGGAGTAAGTATACTGTGTCTAAACTGTGTTAAACTGCGGCATGGTATCTCAGTGAGCTAGCACTATAAATCGGCATCAGTCTGTACTGGTACAAGCAGCCACACACACACAAACACGTACATGCACGTCGCTACATAAGTGCAATATTCTTGGACGCGACGTTAAACCCCATTTCACCCCACCATTTTATGTAACCCCAACCCCTCCCCCCAAAACATGTAACATTTATCAATGACCACCCTCTCTAAATTAAATAAACAGTTCCTAAATAGTGTTCAAATCTATAACTATTTTATTTGAAAACATAGATCGGTGTCATTTATAGTTGTGAAAAATGTTGGCTACCCCAAGTCTTTCGCTGTGTCATTTTTCCATGATCCCCTTTCACCTCACCGTCCCCCCTCCACCATAACAATTGACCAGTCCCTTTATAACATTAAGTGGTAGGTTCCGTACTGAGGCGAGTTCGACTGGAAGAGGGTTTAGCTGTGTCAGGACCCAGGTCTAGACTACACAAGGACAAAACAGTGCTGCACATTACCTTCAGTTTCTTCCGATGCTGAATCAAGTGAAAAATATTGGTCAATATTGATAATATCTTTGAGCTAAGAACAAGCACCTACCACAACGGAAACACCCCCGCCTAAAGCCATTACATATCTGCTTTGACACTATGAACATTCTGATGCCAGGACAGCAATCTGTCAGGACTCATTGACACAGAAACAGGACTCTCACGAATGTCATAAATAACAAGCTGCACATGAACTGTTCAAATTCCTTCATCCTTCTTATCCCTTACATCACATTAATGGCATGAATATGAGCATAAGCATAATTATAGCTAAAATGGATAGAATTATCATTTAACAACCCGCATGTTATCAGCAATGAGAGGGCCACTGTAACTTGATAATGCCCTCATATTGCTTGACGACGGGCCATTATCACGCCCGTTGTTAGGTGACGTCATAGGATAGGGAAAGGTGACATCACGTTCAATAGTGACGTCATCTGGCTTGTTCTATGACGTTTCCATATTTGTAAAAGTGGGTCAGTGAAATTCGTGTTGATTGCAGTAAATGTTTCAAAACCGATATTGTTGTTTCTTTTCATTTGATAACAAATTCCATCCATTTCAGCTATAATAACATTAACGCTATTTTTCAGGGCATTATCATTTGCAGAAGCCCTCGATCTTTTCAACTAGTGGAAGACCTCGAGCTTCTGCAAATGAAAATGCCCTGAAAAATAGTGTTACCCTTATAGTAACACAGGCCCCTGAAACAGGATAGGGATATTACTGAAAAACTGAACCCATATTTATAAATAGACAAGTTACGTCACTCGCCATCTTGGCTGAAGTTGAAATCGGCTGTATCGTTTAAACTAAATGGAAATGTATGCATGCCATGTTTACAATACCTCCCTCCACATACGCCCTGCATGCCACAAACCTTCATTTTTCGCTATTTATTACCTATATCGGGTGATTTCATTGAAATATTGGCTCAGGCGCGGTTGTCGGTCACGGATGTGAACAAAAAATCTCCTTGCTCAATGGCGTTGAGTGCTGTTATTGGCCCGCACTCCAACCATAACAAACGCACGTGGTGATATTTACCAATCAGAGCTCTCGGTACGCGGAAATTTTTGTTTACTTGTGATATCACTATCCTGCTTCAGGGGCCTGTGAGCATACCGGCAAGCAAAATTCAAAAGCAGAAAGTTTGGTACAAGTCCATTCTTAGTGTGTTTTTGTTCAACACATACATGGGGAAATCCATGCATAGTCTTTAGCTGCACATACACAAACGGTAATGCATAACATGCATGATAACACTCTTCACATAGAACCTAACAGCAACAGGAAACTGCATCATCGCAAACACTTTACACCTGTCTTAAACAAGTGCATATCATGGATCCAATCACTATCACTATCAGATTTGTACCACACCTACCTTATCTTGAGGAAACATAAGTTCACCATTGTATGTATCAGTATACAGAGGAGACATGGTAGCCAGGGCCCCGTTCCTCAAAGCGATCTTAGCGCTTAGGTGATCGTAAGTCCCATACTTTAACATAGGGTTACGATCATCGTAGCGCTAAGATCGCTTTGAGGAACGGGGCCCTGGGTTCCGTTCCACAAAGCGATCTTAGCACTAAGATGATCCAACTCCCATTCTTTAACATAGGCTTACGACAGTCGTAGCGCTATGACCGCTTTGTGGAACGGGGCCCTGAGCTGTCTTAGTACTACTACAGACTAAACCTGTTGAAGTATGGGAGTTCCAATCATCCTAACACCAAGGTCGCCTCGTTGAACGAGACCCTGGTCCTGACTGAACTATGTTCCAGCATGAACGCCTGATCCTCAGACTCACCTGGGGTGCCGCATCCTCCGCTGCATTGATGGAGTAGCGAGCCCCAGACCCGCTGTCCAGCAGGGGCTCCTCCCTCCCCGCCGTCTCCGCATCACCCTCAGCGCTGGTGAAACATCCACATGCAATCCGCAAACATCCCTTGGCCAGGATCCGGTGCTGACAGATGGCAGATTACGACAGAATTGCAGTGACTACTGACTAGTGTTCCAACTAACAGATTTCATTGATGAGTGAATACTTTAAGTTTTGAACTAAGGGATCAATTATGAACTCTGGGATCAATAAATTTCTAATACTTTTATGGATATCAAAAATGGAGTATAACATGTACAAAGCACAAGAGTTTCATTACAGACATGTTAAGAGGTCTGTTTCTGTTTCAGTGTATCCCAGCAGGCGTTTGAGTTGCAAGGTAATCAAAATACCATTTAAGAAAGAAAATTTGTGGACGTCAACTTCTTTATCATGAGGAACACAACATTGTGGAGTATATACTTACTCCTTCATCATTCACCTACCAGGAAACGTTGTGTTCCTTATAATAAAGAAGTTATCCACAAATTCTCTTCCTTATGTGTATCACTTCTAAATGCCTCTAAAATAACTTTCAGAGTTTAGCTATTACATCTAATGTTATTTACATAAAAGACACTGAGAAAGAATGCTCTAATCAGGATTTTTCTATTCTCTTTCATGATTGATTAGTAATCGGTCCTTGATAAATCTTGAATTTTACCCAATACCCAACTGGTTCTGTCAAAACACCTGTCATAACAGTGACCAATTATATCGCAACATCTTGTACTGTTTGTTTGTTGTTTAACACCACATTCCGCAATATTCCAGCAATATGACGATGGCCTGTATATAATCTTAAGTCTCAACCAGACAATCCAGTGGTAGAAAGTGCGAGCAACATTCCAAGCCCTCAGGGTACGAGAACACACTATCAATCCACGTCAGCTAGCCTTCCAACCCGATCCCATTAATCGGCTCTTAGGACAAGTTTGGGTTGGAGAAGACTGATTCTAACCTGGAATCCCCCTGGGGGTTATCTTGTACTGACCTTGGGGAGTTTGCATTCATCCAGGGCCTGCATGATCTTCGTCTTGAGATCATTCATGGTGGGCAATCCCAGCCGGGGCACCAGGTCCTTGCCAACTACCACCGAGCACACGTAGCTCTGGACGTGGGCACTTACTGATGGGCTGGCAGGAAGAAACATCACTGTCATCATTCTCCTCCAACATTTATAAAATTATACTGATGACGTCTCCAACTGTGGAGACACATCATAAGCCTCCAGTACCCATGGACGTCATGAAAGTCGTTCTACTAGGCACATATATGAGCAGTCATGGCTACTTGTATACAATCAAGACAACATGCAGACAACAATCCTTACACTGAAATACATTAAGACACAGTAATACCTTGAACTGTAAACCAACATTTAATCGCTCTTAAAACAGTACTCTTTGGATACATGAATAGAGAGTTCAAGCAAATGACTGAGTTATTGATTGTTGTTCTTCACAGTTGTGTGAGTTGTCAAAATGAACAAGAAAAATAGAGTCAATATTTTCTTGTTTTTTCACCTTTGTCTAAACTATTGCCAAACACAATGTCTATTGTTATTTGTTTGTTTGTTTATTTGTTGTTTAACGCCGCACTCAGCAATATTCCAGCTATGTGACAGCGGTCTGTAAGCGAGTCAGGACCAGACAATCCAGTGAGCAGACATCATGATCATCGATCCACACAATCGGGAATGTGAAGACATGCATCAACCAAGTCAGAGAGCCTGACCCCCCAACCCCGTTAGTTGCCTCTTACGACAAGCATAGTTGCCCTTTATGGCAAGCATGGGTTGCTGAAGACCTATTCTACCCCAGATCTTCACAGGTAATGCTTAAAGGTCCTGATGAGAGATGTGAGAATAGGGCCTAAAAGTCAGTGACATACTAACCTATACATTCTTTAATATTACAGTGAGACTGGATCTTTCAAAACATTGATAAAAGTATTTAATACATTTCATGTAGAATGTTTTAGTGCTTGTGCATCCCTTGGGATCCATCCATCCATCCATCCATCCATCCATCCACCCACCCACCCACCCACCCACCCACCCACCCATCCATCCATCCATCCACCCATCCACCCACCCATCCATCCATCCAATTGGCATTTCTACTTGTTCCTCTTCATCACAGACACAAACTGGCGAGACCTCACTATGACATTTATCATTTGTTTATGATGCTTTGTTTTAGGATTATGAATGATTACACCTAATTGATAACATGCATACATATCTATAAATCAAATACACAACACAAATCTCCTGCAAGATCATCCTTCACGAACCTCATGAGTCCCCCTGGTGGTGAGTAGGCGAAGCAGATGAGGTCTCCATGCCGGGGTTTCAGCAGGATGGACAAGATGGCCGCCACTCCTGCTCCAAGACTGTGCCCTACAATGACCAGCCTGCTGCACCCCTGGCGAGGGAGAAGTGCAAATCATGTCACCATGTCTGAGATAGTCAACTGGGCCATGGAGTTGAATACAATGAATACTACAAGTTCTACATGACAACATGACCATCATGTAACAAATGTTATATCTGGGATAACACTTTCTTAGTAAAGTACAGATTCTTGTACTTTTTGGGTTGAGTCCCGTCTATTTTATTCACGACTGTAACTGCTTCCTACTTGTGAAATATCTCCAACATATTTGTAACGACACTGTCAACGTACCGGCAGCAAGTCAAAGGCCTTGGTCAGTAGCTGTAGGGTGTCGAGCCTGTCCTTGATGTAGTTAGCACAGTCCAGCATGGCTCCGTGGACATACGCGTTCTCCACACCTTCAATGTCTATTGGCATACCCTCTGCTGACAGGTCCACAAGAGCATCCTGGGATATACATAAACATCTATTTCATCTTTTTCTGTGATCCGAGAGATGTCAAGTAGGTAGTGTCACTATATTCAAGGGCAACAAGGAATACTCAGAACAAAGTACAGTAAACTATGGTTATAACGAACTCAAATGAACCACAAGTTTTAGTTTGTTATAACCGTAGTTCGTTATAAGCATATACACAACAGCTATACAGCAAATGGCAGGGACCAAAAATAAAGTTTGTAATATCTGTCAGTTTGTTATAAGCGTGTTCATTATAAACATATTTTACTGCATTGCACAAAGCAAGTACTTTGTACTGAATGCACTTCTGACAAATTCCATGACAAGTATTGTTCCACATTTTCAAGCGGTCTGACAACAGTGAACGAACCTCTAGAGAGAGAGTGCCTCTGATGCTGATAACTACACTCTTGTGTTCTCGATCTACTGCCACGTAGAAGGGGATCTCCTTGAACTGAAAATACAAGGAAGCTCCATATATTCCAAATGTCAAAAGCAAATGTCATGAATCTTCAAAATATAATAGTTATTGCAGCAACCACTTTCTGGCATTTCACGGTGACAAGCTCTACAGGGCCTGCGACCACCTTCTGGATAAAATCTACAAGGCCTGCGACCACATTCTGGATAAAATCTACAAGGCCTGCGACCACATTCTGGCCAGACACTAATGAGCTGAACATGGTCTGTGTACTTCTGGTAGCCATGGTGATAAGCTCTACAGGGCCTGCGACCACATTCTGGATAAAATCTACAAGGCCTGCGACCACATTCTGGCCAGACACTAATGAGCTGAACATGGTCTGTGTACTTCTGGTAGCCATGGTGATAAGCTCTACAGGGCCTGCGACCACCTTCTGGATAAAATCTACAAGGCCTGCGACCACATTCTGGATAAAATCTACAAGGCCTGCGACCACCTTCTGGCCAGACACTAATGAGCTGTACATGGTCTGTGTACTTCTGGTAGCCACGGTGACGTGCCCTACAAGGCCTGTGATTACCATCTGGCAGCTCACCATGATGAGCTCAACAAGACCCCTGACCACTTTCTGGCAGGTGACTGTCCGCTCACCTTGTTGTGGAAGCTGACATAGACGAGATCCTGGTCACTGATTCCTGTCACCTTCTTTATGGCAGCTGTGTGGCACTCACAGGCATTGTCGAAACTTACATTCTCACTGGACCGCATACATGCACAGCACCTGGGAACAAACAGAAGCAGCATGTATCTTTCTTGCAGTCAGAAAGTGATACACAGAGACAAGAGAAATAAGACATCTCCTGAAACGCAACTAAAGTGAATGAGTGAGCTTGGATTAATGCAGTATTCCAGTCACATCACACTGTCTCACACCTCATGTCGGAGGAAAGCCCAAAGTAATGCATGTCACAGATTAAGAGGGAAGTCAGCCCTAAAAGTGATAGTCATCATAGGGTGTGTGAGTGAGCTGGGGTTTACACTGCCTTGAACAGTATTCCAGGGATATCAGGGAGAATCCTTAATGTGGGAGAAAATGTGGGGTGTAGGTGTCTGAGTGAGTGAGTGAGTGAGTGAGTGAGTGAGTGTCTGAGTGAGTGAGTGAGTGAGTGAGTGAGTGAGTGAGTGAGTGAGTGAGTGAGTGAGTGAGTGAGTGAGTGAGTGAGTGAGTGAGTGAGTGAGTATGGCTTGACGCCGATTTTAGCAATATTCCAGCATTATCACAACAGGGAACGCCAGAAATGGGCTTCATGCATTCTGTCCATGTGGGGATTTGAACCTGGGACTCCAGTGTAACGAGCGAACTCTTTAACCACTAGGTGTCAGACGTGTATCACTTTGGTGAAACTAACGAGCATGGGTATGGTGCTGAAAAACCCAGACACATAATCGGGGCAAACCCGTGGTTATTGGTTTGCCCAACGGATGCAATTCTGCACATCTAACCCGCGCCCTTCATTCATCGTAGATGATTACCATCTGGTGGAATCCTTGTGGTACTCACATCCTTGTGGTCGCCATACTAGGCTCATATATTACTCAGCCAAACACATGCCCTCAATATTAACCAGTCCCGATAAATTCCAAAGGACAAAAGAAAAATAAGACACTGACATATAAAAGCTATTTCAAAAGTTTGATTCAATTTGATCAATATACCTATAGCCATTTAAATTTTAGCGAATCAGAAAAAAACAGATCTCATAATGCGTAAACACTGAATACCCAGCACATAAGCAAACAACAGAATACCAACATACTAAAGTTGGACAAATTTCATCCAGTTTGATTGTATTTAAAGGATAAAAGTGACAAAACAACATCTTAAATTGATAGTGATGTTAAAATTTCACAACTCAGGAAACAGAGATTCTGATCCACTACACTACAGCCATCTATAAACTACTACCGACGTTCATCAACTGATGAATACAGAGTGTTTTTGTGACACACAAAGAACAGCATGAAATAGTTGGGATGAAACGCCAAAAACTACAAACTGAATGATCAAATTGACAGTAAAGATATGTATTCTGTATAAGAGAAAATAAAGAAAATAAAGAAATAATGTGATAAATAGTTGTAGACGAGGCTGTGTTAGTGAACAAGGTCAGGGTCTGGTGCTACGTGTACTCAAGTGTACAGAGGCCAGTAGAGGTGTAAGACCAACAGAAGCAGCCACAAGTACCTACTACATGTACAACGTAATATGGTGTATAGGAGGCACATGTCGTTAATCAGCAAACAGAAATAATTAAGACTAGGTACTGTTTAGCTGTAGAGTTTGGCGGGAAATGAACGCTTGTCAGAAACTTAGTCCAAATTGTTCCCATGGAAACACAACAATTAGTTAAACTTGAAAAATGTGAAAAGGCGAAAGTTGAGCATGTGGTAATTGCACATGTAGAGTTTCATGCAAAAATATTCATTAGTTTGAGAGTTATGGCTCAGAAACGACGCCTAGAATTGTTTGAGATTAAGTCCAAATTGTTTAAATGGAAAAAAAAAAAAAAGTCAAAATAGTTAGTCGCCAGTTAATGCAATGCATATGACAAGTTTCGTTGAAAAACATTGAGCGTTTTCAAGTTATGGCTCGGAATAGGATGGAAACCCATGCCAACATTAAAGCTAGCAGTGTTAGGGTCAATAGCAGAGGGGGATGCCGAGCCAAAAAACAATATGCCTCCCCTCCCTTTGGGGGGAAAAAAACATAAGAACACTACAAAAAACACCAAACCAGAAAAGAGGTGACATATTGTCATGAGGTTAAAATGGTAAACAGAATATGTGAACATACTACAGTTGCTATTCCTCCTCAACATCCTCGGGGTAGGTTTACATCCATCACGTTAAATACGGCATCAAACAAGACAACTCACAATATTACTTCAGCCATCATTCTATTTGTTGTAACTACATGTATAACAACCAAAATTCATTACACACAGCTGAGGTTTTAGAACTGGCTCAGTAAGAACAAATATGGGTGTCTTAAGGCTTAGCTTAACATTACAATGTGAAAATACCTCTGACTTCAAGAAATAAAACTTTACTAATGTCAAAATTTTGAAAAATATAATGATTTTTTTTTCTGTATTTGCCTGCCAAGGGCACTGAGTTTGAATCATAGATAAGTACCTGTGCTATATCTGAAGCCGAGGGTCCTAAGACAGACCTCCACTCCATTGCGTGACTGTGTCATCATGACCCAAAGGTCAAACACAACAGGAAAGGGTCCCCAAATACATGTATTAGTGTTATGGTCAATAGAAAAGGTGGATGCTATAAATTTAAAAACTGGTTCTCTAATCTTTCCCTAAACTAACATGCAGACCTTTTACTGGTCAGAAGTGAGGAGAAAGTAAAAAAAATTAATTAATTGTGTTTTATTTTTAATACATTACACTTCCTCGAAAGGTTTCAAGTAATTATCTTGGCATAAGTAAACATCACAACTTCAGAATTGTCCGAAATTGAGCTTTTAGAATATTTAGAGTTTAGATCTTTTGTATTCTTGTGAACCCATTTTTCATGAACATATTTAAGGCCAGGTGTTTTAACAAGGGAGGTAATTTAGCAGCTAGAGTAACCTGCCAATGGGGACAATATAATCCCTCAAAACATAACATGTGGCAAAATGGTGATTTGGACGAACAATGAATTTGTTGCTGTTCTCTTACTTCTGGTCTTTTGATCAGGTTTGGTACGTAGGGAACAACGCATAACCAGGTCTCTCACAACATTCCTGTAGATATAAACCTACCCAGGATTTGAGGATGCAACCTAATCTAGCCTACAACTCACTGAAATGATTGAAGTCGGGTATCATCTTCATCGTCATCTAAAACCTCGTACCATCGACCATGTTTATAAATATTGGGATTCCCAGTGTGCAATGGGGAATAAGACTTTTTCTGAAATCGATTCATAAACGATCTCAGGAAACGAGGCATTTTTATATGACTAGAAGTTGGGCTGAAAGACAAATAAACAAAAACATTCATTTTAATTCGCATGACAGTAAATGGAGTGAGTGAGTGAGTCTTTTTACATCACTTTCAGCAATATTCCAGCAATATCCTGACAGGAGACACCAGAAATGGGCTTCACACATTGAACCTGAGAAATGGAACCCGGGTCTTTGCATGACAAGCAAATGCTTTAACGATAAGGTTACCCCACTGCCCCACAGAAAAAGGGACGTTAAGTAGAGCACAACAAATAACAATACTAAATCAAAGTTTCTAATAAATTTAAGTTTACAAAATGTATTAAAATAGAAACAGTTTTCAACCGCCATATGACAAGTGTCCAATTACATTGGGATAAGTCAAATAATGATAACAACACAGGGTAATCAACAGACATGACTCCCAGCCGTCAAAACTCTTACACAATCAAAGTCACCAAGGGAAATAAGCAGCATGCAGCAATCTCATCACCAGGTGTCTGCACAGAACATTAATACTGATAGCGGATTGATATAAAATACACTTGTATATACTACTCAAAAGAAGTTAAGGATCACCTGATTCTTTCATATTACTATAGTTAATCTCTCATGTCATGACAGATTAACTTTACCATTATGAAAGAATCGGGTGATCCTTAACTTCTTTTGAGTAGTATACTTGCTTTGTTATTTAAGCATGAAAAGCAACTAAAATCTCACATAAATACAGAACATGTGGATTTTGTTGGTCAGATCATACCAGTTGCTTATGCATCTAAGGAGTACTTAGGTAATAATGTAGTGCTTTTAGCATGCTTTAGGATGTTTTGTTTGTTGTTTAAAGCCGCACTCAGAAATATACACGCTATATAATGGCGGTCTGAAAAATAATCAAGTCTGGACCAGACAATCAAGTGATTGACATCATGAGCAATTGGGATACGATGACATGCATCAACATGATCAAACAAGTTATCGAGCCTGACCACCCGATCTCGTTAGTCGCCTCTTACGACAAGCATAGTCGCCGTTTACGGCAAGCACAGGTTGCTGAAGACCTATATTTTTTATGATTTGGATTTGGCACATATTAAATATGCCTCATAGGCAATTTTGGTTGCACACTCCCTAGGGAGCTGAGAAAGATAACCAACCCCACTGACCCCAGTAATAATGGTGTCAGCACTTTGAACATGCTTTAACTGATGGACTATAGTGCATTACAAATACCCAGTTATTTTTATTTTAACATAGTGAAATCCTGGTAATCTGGATTATAGTGTTTCCAGAGAAATTGTCCATGTCCACAACTTTCCTGAAACAAGAATTATGGGTACAGAGTACTGATTGTTTGCACTGGACAACTTGCAGCGGACATAACACTGATGCCTGGGTAACCTTCATCTGGCCGGGACTGCCCGCCTCATCCCTCCTCCCTGACAGACTTGAGTGAGTGAGTGAGTGAGTATGTTTTTACGCCGCTTTTAGCAATATTCCAGCAGTATCACAGCGGGGGACACCAGAAATGGGCTTCACACATTGTACCCATGACGGGAATCGAACCCGGGTCTTTGACGTGATGAGCGAATGCTTTAACCAACAGGCTACCCGACCGCCCCTGACAGGTTTGAGCTCTGTCCTTGGTATGCACACAGACCTTTCTGAACTAAAGCTACAGCATCCTACTCAGGAAACTCTTAAAACACATCAACAACTCACTTGCACTTGGTGGCCAGCTTGCAGAGTCCCGTGAGCAGATTGGTGTACAAATAGAAGGGCCAGCCGTAGCTCCCAAGGGCATAGCGCATGAAGTGAGACATCATCTTGACTGTCATCCAGCTTTCCGGCACGGGACAATTTGCAGATGACATGACACTAATGGCCGGCCGAGGTCCATCTGGCTGGGACTGCCCAGCTGTCCCCTCCACCCTGACGGACATGAGTTCCCGCCCCCGACACATCTGCTGGTGCTGAATCAGGATGAGGCCTGCCGCTATGTCGGTCGGAACCAGGTCCACGTCCTGCACAGAGAAAATATCTGGTCTGATTTACCTATATCATTACCTACATTCTTCTGTTAACGGCTCTCTCAGAACCCCAGCTCTTTATTAAATTCAAGAAATATTGGAAACTGTGTACAATGTACATGATGTGTAAACACAATGAAAATAGCAACAGTGTTTAAAAGATGTTTCAAATTCAGGATGATCATCATGATCATAGAGATATTTTTTTCATTTATGATAAATAAGATCATAATATTGGTAAATATCATGACATCCTTTCTGTTACCTTGATGAATAATAATCAATATTAATAATGAAACTGAATGGACTTTCAATGCCCTCACTATTCCCCCTCCAACTGTTTTCAATTTGTAATTTTCAGCTTCACTGATCTTTTGACAAGACCCTTAATATTTTGATGTTAAAACAAACAAAAAATCACCTAAAAGTGTAAAATTCTGTCCACAATGTGGATGATTCATGTCAATATAAATATTGAATTTATTACAAAATATTCAAAACATAAAGCTTAACTACTGTTAATATCTTCTGACACACTGACGCATGACTAAATGTCCAAGCATATATATATGGAAGTTGCATCACATCCTCACATGTCTTTTTACATGCTTTATGAGAGAATGTTTTATTTTGAAAAAGTCTGAACATTTTTAACAAATTCTACCTGGAAGAAATCTGCCACCAGTTTGGAGACATCGGTAAAAGCATCTCGGTTGTCCTGCTTAAAGGCCACACAACAGCACAACAGGCGACATCTAAAGACAATATACATGTCATGATTGGATTGAATGTTTTGTTTGTTTAACACCATACTCAGCAATATTCCAGATATATGATGGTGGTCTGTAAATAATCGAATCTGGACTAGACAATAGAGTGACTGACATCATGAGCATGGATCAACACAATTGGGATACGATGACATGCATCAACCATGTCAGCGAAACCTGACCACCCGATTCCGCTAGTCGCCTCTAAAGACAAGCATGGGTTGCTGAAGACCTATTCTACCAAGGATTTTCCCTAGGTCAACTGGCGAAGGGATTTTACAAAATGGTTACTGGCCAGTCAGTTAACTGGATTTGTTTATAACTCTATGAGTTATGATAATGTTTCTCGCTTTCACTATTACACCACACAGTGGCTGAATGTATTCTAAGGTGATAGGGGAACATCATGTGTAAGTACTGACTGTATGATCATGACAACACAGCAGTGTTACCTCATTTCCCACACTTTGCTGGCTGTATCTACAGAATCTGACAGCCGCATCTCTGATCCATGGGTCATCCTCCGTGCAATCCTGTTCTTCTGTTTCTGTGTTCCAACAGGATCAAATACCAGGAGGATTCCAACCAGCATGAAGAAGCCGGCGACCCAGGCAAACAGCACTGCCCCTTTCACGGTCCACACCACTGCTGGGTCACACTCATAGGATTTGCCAAATGCCCAATACGTGCCCAGCACCACCCAGACTGTTTCGGGTACCAGGAGTCCCAACTTGAAGTACAGCATGATGGGAATACCACGACGAGGCTTTACATTGGTGATTGTTCCCTTCATGCTTGTGTGGATTATAATTATGTTCATGACGGAACTGGTTACTAGGATAGTTATTACCCCAATGAAGTAGATGCGGAGTAGATGTCCACTGCTGCAGTCAAAAGCATCTTTGTTCACATGGAAGACCACAGATATTGCAATCAACCTGAAAAGCAGATAACTTACTGAAAATTACAAATTTAAATAATCCAAATTTCTATGTGTTTATCAAGTAGAATAAAATAATTATGTGGCAGACTAGCAGTGAATGTTCTATAGTCTAATCCATTGATGAAATAAATATTATCAAAGCAGAATGATGTTAAACTGCTAGTGTCACTTTGAAGATAGAGGGTCTCCATTCGACAACATCGCCATTCTGCTGAAACAATGATCACTTATGATGTTTCTTCAGCATATTCTGAACACTGTGATTTATTATCCAGTTCTGACTCCCACAGGAGATATCGCTTGTCAGAGATCAAATAATCGTCTTGGAGGTCTTGCTTTCCTGATCACCCACTGGTTGACATGAGCATTTAGTGTGAGGTTAAATGTCAGAATCTCCTTTGAGGAACACCCAGGGAACTATATAAAGAAATCCTGTACAAAATTTTGTGTAATCACCGTATCATTTCTGTTTCAGTATTTTATGGAAAATATAGATATGTATTACACATGTTGTCTGTACCGAAAAAGATTTTTCTTTTGAGGACCATATGTCAAAAACACAGGGGCTTGGTATTTTCTTGGAAAAGTAAAAGAAAAGTAGATGTCAAATTTTAAGTAATACAGAGACCCTAACCTTGACAGGATTTCATTCTCTTTTAATAAAGAGTAAAATAGATAACAAGTATGTACTAAAGGAGGCCATGTTGTGGTAATAAAATATATTTAAAAATTTCTTTGTGTTTATTGTAATTCCTGCAATCTGATTAGCTGATTGGTTACACTTTATTGCATTCATTTCCCAATGAATGTAAAAAATTTAGCCACACCCACTGAAGCAGTCTACTTTCATCATCATGTTATGTCAGGTAATCCCATATTACAGTCCAGGGAATTCCCTTTCTGCTATTATATCACATATATGTATTATCATGCACAGGACTTTATACGGAAATTCATCGCTATGCGGATCAGTGTAGTTTGCACATGTTTTTTTCAATTCTTATTTCAAAGAACTGAACAAAGTACAGTCAATCCTGAAATAATTTACCAAAAGCCAGTAGGACTGACTGATGAACAGGCCCCATTAGTGAACTACAGGATAAGTGTATCTTCTTGGGGCAAAACAAAAGTGAAATGATGTTCAAACACACAAAACAGAAACATCAACCAACATCTGTAAAGGGGGAAGTCAACTGTTAGTTTGAGTAGCTCGTGCACAAGTTCGCAAACATATAGATACACTTCATTGTGTATGGGTATTTACAATTTGTGAACTGGTTAGCCAACTTGTGTTGGGTCATTCAACTTATTATGAACATGTCTGTCAAAAGCTATAAACCAATTCATTTTGTGACCGAGATGACTAATAATGGTGAATTACTGATAGACATAGATAAGCCAAAGCGAAACAAACAAACATGTCATCACGCATTTACCAGGCAAATCTGAAACAGTTTTCTATTATGATGGGGAAGACAAGGTCATCACTGCCTATACCCCATCGCCTGTTAAAGGCTACGAGGCCAGGCATGGTTGAAAGCTTGACGATATGCCTAGCCTTGTAGTCGGCAGAGTTTTCTCAAAACAGTAGCCATCTTGAAGGTAACAACGAGACATAGTACATTATAACATTTTCTATTGGTTGGAATTGTGTGACGGCCTAATATATTGACCAATCATGAAAGGTATATGAAAGAAAGGAAGTTTACGGTTAGTCGGGCATGCGCAGTGTTACTGCGTCAAACACGTGGGTTTGTTGACGTAGCTGTCTGAGACATTGACATGTGACGCATTTATGTCACATGAGATGTTTATACCAGAAGTACTGTCTTGTCTTAACTGTGTACGCTATAGTAAATAGCCTCAATGTGTAAATCTGGCAATTTATGTCAGTGAGAAAACCATTGATAAAAAAAGGAACGTGAATAAATCCTAGCAAGTGTGCAGGTATACGATCAGAAACCAGCTGCATTATGTATCTACAGGGAGGGAATGCATGTTAATACACGTTAATTCTTTACCTGCGTAGTGTATATGGGTGTCTCAAAGGGCAAAAATACACAGGATATTATACATTCAAAGAATCAGCTGTAACTATCATAAATATGTTAAAAGTTGCTTTGGTTATATATACATACTACACTCTTGTCACTTATACACCAAGCTGACGTTTGAAATGTTGTGCCCAGTTAATTTTGTTTTACAAATTGTTTGGTACTTTTTGAAGAATACATGATAGAATTGCATGAATGTGGCCCACCAACAAGGTCCTCTCCCTATTTGAATGGTTGTATCTTTGAACATGGCTCTATTACATTGATTTCATATAAGTGCAAAGTTGTATTTTTATAAGCTATAGCATTAATAATTTACCTCAGGATGTGTATAGATTTTTGAGAATATCATGTGAAATATATGACAATAAGCACATCAACAGATGTAATCAAGAATTCATAGGTTAGATAACAGTAAGGAATGATTTTTTAGAACTGCGAACTGCATTAATTAAGCTAGGGTAACACTTGCCATGCTATTAAAATAGGAAAGTGTTTTTTTTTCAAAAAGAAACATGCCTGTTCCAGTTGCCTCCTTGTGGACAGTGTTTGTGTTGCAAATGTTAACTACAGAGTTGACAGTTGTGTGACTTATATCTATATGTACAGTGCTACCTTGTTAACCCCAAACCCGAAGAATTAGTTATTATGTTATCTGGAATTTGAGACATTTGAGATCATGAATTTGGCTGTGATTTTGTGTGCTTGTAAATTCAGGCCTTTTATCAGATGTTGACAGTGCCTACATTGCCAGCAGAATGGGATCAGAGGCAGCAGCGGGTTGTATCAGTAAGCTCCTGGAGCTGCTACGAATTCACAGATTCGTCATGTCAAGAATATGTACATCGAATGGGACTGAGGCACACATGTACTCTTATGGAACTCCTGGGGCATTACTGAGGAAGAATATTCTCCGTGAATGGTACTCACATTCATATTAAAATTCTTTTATATTTAACAAACTCTGATGTTTCTATAGATAAGATATCAGATTTGTTGTTAAAGAATGTTGTATTAAGTAAGTATTAATCAAATCCAGAAACTTAAATGGTTAGAATAAGTGTTGGCAGCACAGGTAACCTTTATAGAAAATACATGCCTATTTTTCTTTCAGTAACAATGGTAATGACTTCAATATAAGCTCGGGGGCACGGGTGGCCCAGTTGTCTAAGGCGCCGTGTATCTGCTGTGCAGAGTTGCATCCCTTGGGCATGCCAGAAACCTATGATTGTGGGTTTGAATCCTGGTTCGTCCCAATTATGTTTCTAGGTATGTCAGCACCATATCCGTGCTCGTGGGTTTCACCAAAGTGGTAAATGTCTGAGACCTGCATCACTTGGGGCTTTCCTCCAAGATTAAGCTGACAAGCCGTGATATAACTGGAAAACTGTTAAAAGCGGCGTTAAACCAAACTCACTCACTCACTCACTCACTCACTCAATATAGGCTCCATTGTATCTTAGCATTAAGAACAGTGATCATACATTTGTTGAAGAGGACAATTCCCCAGTGTGAGAACTAAGACTTCAGGAAACAGGGTTAGCTATATGGGTTCAAGTATTTAAGTATTTAATCAAAATCTGATTTACATGACAATTGAAAATGACAAATAGATGTACCATTTTTCAGGTGGAATCACATGGTCTCTTCTGAAGAGAATACATTTCCAGTGGAAGCATCAGTTGTCTCCCCTGATATGACAGACTCAGGGATCAGTCTAACATTAGGACCCAGGTATATTTATTGGTTTTAAGTTTCTGTTAAGAGACTGTAGCATGATGAGGATTCATCCCTCATATGACATTCCTGTTGTGTCGGCTTGCTGACAGTATTCACCTCTTTGTAGTGATGAGCCAAGGGGTAATGGGGTTCCTCCTGCAACAGGAACACCAGAACAACTTGGGGATCTTCCATGGATTCAACTAATGTGCTTTGTATATAGATTGGGTAGAGATGCACATGATACGTTACATAAGAATTGGTAGGGTTGAGAAAATGGATTGTTAGATAAGATGTGGAGTGTTTGATGTTTGTTTCATGTGTCATCAGTGTGATGTATTCCTGTGGACCTTTAGCCTTTGCTCTGACCTGGGCCCACTTGCGCAAAGCGATCTTAGCGCTAAGATGATCGTAACTCCCATACTTTAACATAGGCTTAAAATAGTTGTAGCGCTAAGATCGCTTTGTACAAGTGGGCCCTGTAGACATTTGAATGAATTCTGTCCATGCCACGAAATACCTTACTATGAAATTAATGTCAGAATAAATGAAATCAAGTTAATTTTTTGTTTCTTGTCTTCCTTCTTTATAGTTATGTACAAAGCTTTTCTTAACTATACTTCTGGGTTTTTTCAGGGAAGAAAACTGTAAGATTTCAGGTGTTTGCCTCACTTCATCTTTGTCTAAAGGTAAATACATTCTTTCAATCTTTGTTTACTATTTGATAATTATGAAAATATTATATTTGTTTATCTTTTTATCATAACTACAGATAATGAATTAACATTAGCAAGAAACATTTGGTCAGTAGAAAGTGACATCTAATCTCGGTCTTGAAGTGGGGATATACTACTAAAGGATGTTGTAACGGTAATATTGCGGAGTGCTGCGTCATACAAGAAACGCACACAATACTCATGGGGGCAGTTCTAAGAAAAACATTACGTTTAATATTTGGATGCATGTTGAATAAAAATTCTGTCAGCTGTTTTGTTAAAGCAGTTTGCATGGATTGTCCTTGTAACTATATCCAAAGTTTGTTTGAGTCAGATCTGCTCGACCATTACCCTCACAGCCTGCAGCAAGTCAACAAAAGACTTCCCTTTGCACAAGCTGCAGTGGGCACATGCTTTCAGTACAGTCGGCCCGAGTTCGAGGACAACAGACCATCTCCACACAGGCTTCTCTCACAGTGAGGCCAAAATTGTATATTTTATGTTTCACAGACTTATTCCAGCTTTTGCACGGAACATCAGTCGAAATAAAAAATGAATATAAAAATGAAAATAAAGAGCTATGTCAATCCTTTATTATCCCCCGCCCCAACAAAGTTGGCGGGGGATATAGAAATGGGTTCCGTCCGTCTGTCCGTGTGTGTGTGCCTGTGTGTGCGTCCTGAAATCGTTTCCGGAGCATAACACAGAAACCGTTAAATATTTCTCTACAAAACTTTGCATGTCTATCAGACTCATACTGATCTGGTGCCTTTTGCTATTTAAGAATTTTATAAATTTTTATTTTTTATGTTTCCATGGCAACAAGTTTGACTTAGGTTCTTTAGGGTAGAGTTCGTTTCCGGGGTATAACTCAAAACCCATTCAATACTTTCTAACAAAGCTATGTATGTTTACCAGACACATACTGAACTGGTGCCTTTTGCTATTTAGGAAATTTAGAAATTTTGATTTTTTACTTTTCCATGGCAACAAGTTGGACTTAGGTTATATAAGCAATGATAAGGGTGGTGTTTGTTTCAGGAGCGTAACTCAAAAACCGTTAAATACTTTCTTACAAAACTTTGCATGTCTACAGGCACATACTGAACTGGTGCCTTTTGATATTTAGCACTTTTAGAAATTTTTATTTTGTTTACATTTCCATGGCAACAAGTTTGACTTAGAAAACAATAAGGGTAGGGTTCGATTCCGGATGAAATTTTCCACATCTATCAGACACATGCTGATTTTTGGCCTTTTGCTATTTATGAATTTTAGAAATTTGTATTACTGGGCATTATTTCCAGAAATATTTCCTTGCCAAATATTGCATGTCTATGTATAAAGCACATACTGAATTGGTGCCATTTGATATTAAGGAGTTTTAGAAATGTTTATTTTAGAATTTCCATTGCAGCTATTTTGACATGGGCTAAGAGAAATGTCAGGTCAGTTACCTGGTTTGGGACCATAACGTGTTAAAATGGGCGGGGGATATAGATGACTTAATCGACTATACGCTTGTTTATTTTTATGAAAGTCATTCTGCTATGGAGTTAAAACTGCAGCTGACTTCTTGAATCACTGATTGCGATGTCGACATGGAGTTTATATGTAACATTTTATATTGTATAAGAGGGTCTATATTACTACAGGGAGACATAATTTAAATGAATGTTTTTATGTTTGATTTTGTTATTTTCCTGCTGCTTTCAGTAGGGGCAGCAGCAGGCCTGTGAAACGATAAATACAATATGTGTCCTAAGTTGTCGGGGCATGGATTGTCAGGGCTTTGCAATTAGCTTTGCAGAGTTGTTTCCCTTGGTTTGGATCCCAGTTTTTCCATCATCCTCATCCTCGGTCAGGATGAGATTCTGTTCTTTTTGGATCTGATCAATAAATCGGTAATCTGACATGTTTACATATGTTACTGAAATGTAATATTGTTGTTACAGTGGACTGTGCCGGACACACCTAGTCCACCATTACTACAGCCCCCCGGGCAGTGCCTCCCAGAATTACGATCACTGGCTCAGTCTCAGACTTCGATGGTGGAGGCAGGTAAATATAGCCGGGTGTTTCATGTTTCTGGGTTTACAGATACTTACAAGTTATAGGGATGGTGGATCTATAAACCAATGATTTTACAATGAAGTCCTGTAGGTTGTCAGCTGATTTGAAGTGTTTCAAAACTGATGCACAGAAGTATTGTCTATGGGATGATACCTCATATTTTTATCAAATGGTTATGAACCTGTTATAGGATATATGGCCATACTCAAAGCTATGAATACTTTTATTTATTACCCATAGGGTTTGAAATATCCAAGTTCATAAAAAATGTATGTGCACTTGTGCAAATGTCACTTCACATACACCGGTGTATCGTTTATGTCATCTGGACGTCATTGTTGACGTCATTCGAATCTTATTGTGACATAGGGGGCATGGGTGGCCCAGTCGTCTAAGGTGTTGCGATTCTCTGTGCAGAGTTGCATCCCTTGGACACACCAGGAATCTATGATTGTGAGTTCAAGTCCCGGTTCGCCCCGATTATGTTTCTAGGTTTGTCAGCACCATACCCGTGCTCGTGGGTTTCACCGAAGTGGTAAATGTCTGAGACCTGCATCACTTCGGGCTTTCCTCCCACATTAGCTGACACGCCGTGATATAACTGGAATACTGTTAAAAGCGGCGTTAAACCCAACTCTCACTCATTATTGTGACGTAAGGTCAGAATGATATCACACTAGAAACAGTGTCATAGCTGAAGATTGTTGACGTCATTCGACAAAAATTGTGGTTTTGTACTGCGACAGTCGTAATTCATGCATACTACTAAAGCTCAGAAGGATTAAGAAATTATAGGTCATAAAGAAATTAAAGCACTTGCATATGTGTCAAACTGATTTTACAATACTCAATGCAATCAAAGCAGCTCAAAACAATGCATACTTGTATACATGCTTGTAAAGTATTCTCTATTTACACACCTCCTTGAATGCCATAGTAAAAATTAACTCACTTATTTCGTAGTTGTTACAGCTTTGTGAGTAAAGATGAGATTGGTAGATTTTCCATGAAAGCTGGTAATTTACTATCAGACTAAAGTGGAATCATATAGATGAGCATTGTCATGGGGATAATGTCATGGGTATGATGTCATGGGTATGATGTCATGGGTATAATGTCATGGGTATGATGTCATGGGTATAATGTCATGGGTATGATATCATGGGTATGATGTCATGGGTATAATGTCATGGGTATAATGTCATGGGTATGATGTCATGCGTATAATGTCATGGGTATAATGTCATGGGTATGATATCATGGGTATGATGTCATGGGTAAGATGTCATGGATATGATGTTATGGGTATGATGTCATTGGTATAATGTCATGGGTATAATGTCATGGGTATGATGTCATGGGTATGATGTCATGTGTATAATGTCATGGGTATGATGTCATGTGTATAATGTCATGGGTATGATGTCATGGGTATGATGTCATGTGTATAATGTCATGGGTATGATGTCATAGGTATGATGTCATGGGTATGATGTCACGAGTTTGATGTCACGGGTATCATGTCATTGGTATGATGTCATGGGTATAATGTCATGGGTATGATGTCATGGGTATGATGTTATGGGTATGATGTCATGGGTATGATATCATGGGTATGATGTCATGGGTATGATGTCATGGGTATAATGTCACGGGTATGATGTCATGGGTATGATGTCATGGGTGTAATGTCATGGGTATGATGTCATGGGTATAATATCATGGGTATGATGTCATGGGTATGATGTCATGGGTATAATGTCATGGGTATGATGTCATGGGTATGATGTCATGGGTATAATGTCATGGGTATGATGTCATGGGTATGATGTCATGGGTATAATGTCATGGGTATGATGTCACGGGTATGATGTCACGGGTATGATGTCACGGGTATGATGTCTTGGGTTTGATGTCATGGGTATGATGTCATGGGTACGATATCATGGGTATGATGTCATGGGTATGATGTCATGGGTATAATGTCATGGGTATAATGTCATGGGTATGATGTCATGGGTATGATGTCATGGGTATAATGTCATGGGTATGATGTCATGGGTATGATGTCATGGGTTTGATGTCATGGGTATAATGTAATGGGTATATTGTCATGGGTATGATGTCATGGGTATGATGTCATGGGTACATGAATGTTGTGACTGTCTTCAGTTTTCCAGCAAGCCCTCTCATTTTGTGACCAGTAACATTGATGCACCTGATGGGAAAACCACTTCATCTATAGACTATATGTTTCCATGGGGACAGAGTAGCATAGAAACAGTGTGTAACCATGGAGATCATGATATCAAACAGTTGGAAGAGCAGTCAGGACTAAGCCATCAGGTTAGTAAACTATGAAATATTTATGACTTTGAGTGCAGCTGGTGTGGTCTGTGTGAATTAAGGGGCAGGCAAAGTGATCCAGGGTGATCGTGATCCAGTGTGAGAGTGATCCCGGGTGAAGGTGATCCAGTGTGATCAAGTGGGGGGGTGATCATGTGAGGGTGAAAGAGTGAGGGTGATCTAGGGTGAGGGTGATCCAGTGTGAGGGTGATCCAGTGTGAGGGTGATCCAGTGTAAGGGGGATCGTGTGAGGGGGATCCAGTGTGAGGGTGATCGTGTGAGGGGGATCCAGTGTGAGGGGATCCAGTGTGAGGGGGATCCAGTGTTGGGGGATTGTGTGAGGGGGATCGTGTGAGGGGGATCCAGTACGAGGGGGATCCAGTGTGAGGGGGATCCAGTGTGAGGGGGATCCAGTAAGATCCAGTGTGAGGGGGATCCAGTGTGAGGGTGATTCAGTGTGAGGGGGATCCAGTGTTGGGGGATTGTGTGAGGGGGATCCAGTGTGAGAGTGATCCAGTGTGAGGGGGATCCAGTGTTGGGGGATCGTGTGAGGGGGATCCAGTACTAGGGGGATCGTGTGAGGGTGATCGTGTGAGGGGGATCCACTAAGATCCAGTGTGAGGGGGATCCAGTGTGAGGGGGATCCAGTAAGATTCAGTGTGAGGTGATCCAGTGTGAGGGTGATCCAGTGTGAGGGTGATCGTGTGAGGGTGATCCAGTGTGAGGGTGATCCAGTGTGAGGGGTATCGTGTGAGGGTGATCGTGTGAGGGGGATCCAGTGTGAGGGGGATCGTGTGAGGGGGATCCAGTGTGAGGGTGATGCAATGTGAGGGTGATCATGTGAGGGTGATCGTGTGAGGGTGATCCAGTTTGAGGGTGATCCAGTGTGAGGGTGATCCAGTGTGTTGGGGATCGTGTGAGGGGGATCCAGTGGGAGGGTGATCGTGTGAGGGGGATCCAGTTGGAGGGTGATCGTGTAAGGGGGATCCAGTGTGAGGGGGATCCAGTGGGAGGGGGATCCAGTATGAGGGGGATCCAGTGCGAGGGGGATCCAGTGTGAGGGGGATCGTGTGAGGGGGGTCCAGTTGGAGGGGTATCGTGTGAGGGGGATCCAGTGTGAGGGTGATGCAGTGTGAGGGTGATCATGTGAGGGGGATCCAGTGTGAGGGGGATCCAGTGGGAGGGTGATCATGTGAGGGTGATCTAGTGTGAGGGTGATCCAGTGTGTGGGGGATCGTGTGAGGGGGTTCCAGTTGGAGGGTGATCGAGTAAGGGGGATCCAGTGGGAGGGGGATCCAGTGGGAGGGGGATCGTGTGAGGGGGATCCAGTGTGAGGGGGATCGTGTGAGGGGGATCCAGTAAGATCCAGTGTGAGGGGGATCTAGTGTGAGGGGGATCCAGTAAGATCCAGTTTGAGGGGGATCCAGTGTGAGGGGGATCGTGTGAGGGGGATCCAGTGTGAAGGGGATCGTGTGAGGGGGATCCAGTAAGATCCAGTGTGAGGGGGATCCAGTGTGAGGGGGATCCAGTAAGATCCAGTGTGAGGGTGATCCAGTGTGAGGGGGGTCCAGTTGGAGGGGTATCGTGTGAGGGGGATTGTGTGAGGGGGATCCAGTGTGAGGGTGATCCAGTGTGAGGGTGATCCAGTGTGAGGGTGATGCAGTGTGATTGTGATCATGTGAGGGTGATCCAGTGGGAGGGTGATCCAGTGGGAGGGTGATCCAGTGGGAGGGTGATCGTGTGAGGGTGATCTAGTGTGAGGGTGATCCAGTGTGTGGGGGATCGTGTGAGGGGGATCCAGTGGGAGGGTGATCGTGTGAGGGGGTTCCAGTTGGAGGGTGATCGAGTAAGGGTGATCCAGTGTGAGGGTAATCCAGTGTGAGGGTGATCGTGTGAGGGGGATCCAGTGTGAGGGGGATCCAGTGTGAGGGGGATCCAGTAAGATCCAGTGTTGGGGTTATCCAGTGTGAGGGTTACCCAGTGTGAGGGGGATCCAGTGTGAGGGGGATCGTGTGAGGGGGATCCAGTAAGATCCAGTGTTAGGGGGATCCAGTAAGATCCAGTGTGAGGGGGATCCAGTGTGAGGGGGATCCAGTGTGAGGGGGATCGTGTGAGGGGGATCCAGTGTGAGGGGAATCCAGTGTGAGGGGGATCCAGTGTGAGGGGGATCCAGTAAGATCCAGTGTGAGGGGGATCCAGTGTGAGGGGGATCCAGTAAGATCCAGTGTGAGGGGGATCATGTGAGAGGGATCCAGTGTGAGGGGGATTGTGTGAGGGGGATCCAGTGTGAGGGGGATCGTGGGAGGGGGATCCAAAATATCAGCAAGGTCAAGCGTGAGTGTTATTGAACATGAGTATTGTGTGTGCTTCCAGGCCCGAGTGAGTAGGAAGATGGTGTATCCCCATGTCATAGAGTGCCAGACATCACTAGAAGACGCTATGGCAGCTTTTCTTGCTGATGCCTTCCAGGAGAAACAGATCTTCTCTACAAACAAAACCATCAAGCAGAACGGTGCCAGAATGGTAATGATGAAGTTATTATGTTTATTCTATTTACAGTATATGAAACAGGGACAATAGAGGGCTTGGGGCAAGGATGGCGCCATACAGTACGAGAAGCTGATGGTCCCAGACAAGCAGCTGAACGTGTTAGATTATTTCTATATCCAATATTAAGAGATCAGTGATGCCTCAGCTCACATCAACGTTGTTAATGTTCTTCTTTTTTTTCCTTTTTTTTGGGTGGGGGGGGATTGAAAACTTTTCTAAGACTTTGAATTGTTCATAGTATTATTGTTAAGATATTGAAGAGTAAGTCAGATGAGATACCGAAACTAGTGACTCCATATTTTTACATCTCATCCAAATTAGAATTACGATAACTTTAAAAGCATTGTCAGAATGTTTGGGGCACTACATGTACAGTTATTGATGTGATTATATTCAGTATTGTATGTCTGTTGTGTTAATTTCTCATGGGTGGCACGAGTGACCTAGTCGTTTAAGGTGTTGCAGTTCGCTGTGCAGGGTTGCCAGAAACCTACGATTGTGGGTTTTGAATCCCAATTTGCCCTGATTAAGTTTCTAGGTTTGTCAGCACCATACCCGTGTTCATGGGTTTCACCAAAGTGGTAAATGTCTGAGACCTGCATCACTTCGGGCTTTCCTCCCACTTCAAGATGACACCGTGATATAACTGGGATACTGTTAAAAGCGGCTGTAAACCCAACTCACTCACAAATAACTTCTCATGTTAAATCTGTTCATATTAATTGATTAATCGTGTGTATGATATTGCAAATGTGTGGGAACGCACATGAAATACATTGCCTCATACCTCTATTTGACAGCTAAAATACATTATGTGTTTTACCAATAACAAATCTTGTAATTTAGGAGTCAATCAGCATGATCATTTTGTCAAATTCTTGTCTTCCCAGGTTTTACAATTTCATCCCCATTTAGCTCCATACAATGTCTCCATGGTGAACACAGGCTCCAAGTCCAGGGAGCTACGACTCGTAACAAGCCACTGGAGCCAGGATCTGCGAGAGGCAGGCATGAGGGTGCTGGACACTGCTGATGTCAGTCTGACACAGGAGGCTCAGTTCAGACGGTACGACCAACCCCAGCCAACATAAGCAGGATTTTATAGCAATGGATCACTTCAGTGGGTCTGTCTAGCGACTACACATTGAATTATTGTATGGCCTGGCACTCTTCTGTCCTGAACTTGACACATCTCTGAAGAAAGCACTGAATCAGATGATTATTAAGGATGAGTGGTATTACCAAAGTAATGCACCATGACTGTGGAATATATTTATTTTATGAGAAAAAACAACAATCTAGAAACGCATACAAAAGCAAGTCTAGCCAGCTCTAGCTAGCTCTATTCCTATGAAATCAACATAGGGAAATTTGTTTATTTTACTTTTAGAGTCAAGAAGGATAGTGTGTATTATAAGATTTCATGGACTAAATGTTAGTCTAGTATAACTGGTAAATTGAGGTTCGTTTTTTCCATGATACGTATTACAATATCATGTTTTAATGCTCGGTATATCGGGTCATTTCAACTAGCTATATTTATCATGTGTTTAATGTTATACACTTGCCATATACCTTTGAAATGTTTCTGTAATTTCGAAAATGCAAGTTCGCATTCTGGAGTGTTTCTGTGGCAGTGGTGTAACACCAAGTCATCTGTCCCGGAGAGGGCATCCTTGCAGTTATTGAATGAGTAAACATTATGATGTTCCAGCATGTTGTTTTGTTTCCTACGTTGATGTTTCTAATTGCTTCTGAATTCAAAATTGTGAATTAAACAATATATTGTGATACGTATTGCAATATGGGCTTGTGCATTGTAAAATATTGTGATACACTGTAAACATCCAATACCCACCCCTTCTGAATATTCACATGGATAAATTGTAAAAGGGAGTATATAAGCTTCTCCTGTAGGGCTGGGACGAGTCCAAAATTGACTACAAGGGTACCCGACCCCCCATTACCCACTGTAGCTCTTAAGAGTTTGGTACAAAATATCTGATTGAGAATTGTTTTACTGGAGCTCTGGCAAAAAGTATTTAGATACATGTATAAAACGATCTGGCCAGCATAACGTGAAGTTGACTGAAGCTTTATCTCTATTCCAACAGATAAGAGTCAGAAGGAATGGGTGCATAGTCAGAAAGAAATGGGAATATTAGTGACTTGTAGTGTAACCATGGAGTTGCCCTAGTCAATGTTTGTCATTAAACAATATATCACATGACTAACAACGGGTCCGGATGGTGCTGTGGGTACCCAGGTCCTGAGTACCTGAGTTACCTATTCCAGAATTACCCTATTCTCTTGCTAAAAATTTCAATATTGCAGACATATGAATGCACACACATGACAATTTGTCTTATTGTTTTACCCTGTCAGGATATTTACAGACACAGTCTCTCCATTTTTCACAATGTCACAATCTCCACAAAACATGACACATGTGAATGAACTGCCACATAGTCCATCTATGGATTTTATTGTAAACGACCATTTTATTGTAAAAAACATGTTGGTATCCTTTATACTGCAGCACTTCAAAAACAGACTGGTGAGATTCCCTATTTCATAGTGTTTATGGATCTAATATGGATGAATCCTGACTTCAATTCTCCATGTTATTAGATAATTCAAATATATTGGTAACATGTGCAGTACATGTGTATTTCGAAATTACTTTGGTTTGGTTTGTTGTTTAACGCTGCACTCAGCAATATTCCAGCTATATGACTGTAAATAATCGAGTCTGGACCAGACAATCAAGTGGTTGATATCATGAGCATAGATCCACGCAACTGGGATCGATGACATGCATCAACCAAGTCAGCGAGCCTGACCACCCGATCCCGTAAGTTGCCTCTTACGACAAGCATAGTCGCCTTTTACGGCAAGCCTGGGTTGCTGAAGACCTATTCTACCCCGGATCTTCACGGGTCTCGAAATTACTGAAGTGTTCAATTCACCGTATGTGGTTTAAGCTGGGAAATAGGATGCTGGCTCTGACTGACCTTGACTAGAACAAGGAAGGGCATTGGGAACACTGGTGTCTCCAGGTAGATCCCCAGCACTCCTTGACTCAAGTGTTGATAGTTTATACTGGCAGGCCATAGTTGGTCTGAAGTGCTGCACTTAGCTGTGCAGTTATGTCCCTAGACTGTATCAGGATCTGCTGATCATGGATTTCATTCCCTGATTTGCCTCCCGTTATGGCATTTGGTGTGTCAGCACCACAAACACGTCCCTTACCAGTTTTAATGTCATTAACCTGCATTAATTCAGGCATTCCTCCACATATTGTGTGTTTGTTTGTTTGTTGTTTAACGCTGCACTCACCAATATTCCAGCTGTATGACCGCGGTCTGTAATAGTTGAGTCTGGACCAGACAATACAGTGATTTAAATCATGAACATCAATCTAGGCAATTCGGATACGATGACATGCATCAACCAAGCTAGCAAGCATAACCGCCCGATCCCGCAAGTCTGCTCTTTCGGGTTGCTGAAGACCTATTGTATACCTGGATCTTCATGGGTCCCTGCACATGTAGATGAAAGACTTTGATGTAGCTTAACACAACACTCTCATTAATCAATTGATCTGCTCATTAGTCTTTGAAGCTGCTGATTCTGCATGTTTGACCTCTGCTATCAAACCAGCTAAACTATTGTATGCTATCATGACTACCATAGAGACCTAGGTTAGAATAGGTCTCGAGCAAGCCATGCTTGTTGTAAGAGGTGACCCATGCTTGTTGTAAGAGATGACCCATGCTTGTTGTAAGAGGCATACCATGCTTGTTGTAAGAGGTGACCCATGCTTGTTGTAAGAGATGACCCATGCTTGTTGTAAGAGGTGACCCATGCTTGTTGTAAGAGATGACCCATGCTTGTTGTAAGAGATGACCAATGCTTGTTCTAAGAGGTGACCAATGCTTGTTGTAAGAGATGACCAATGCTTGTTGTAAGAGGTGACCCATGCTTGTTGTAAGAGATGACCCATGCTTGTGAGATGACCCATGCTTGTTGTAAGAGGTGACCCATGCTTGTTGTAAGAGGCATACCATGCTTGTTGTAAGAAATGACCCATGCTTGTTGTAAGAGGCATACCATGCTTGTTGTAAGAGATGACCCATGCTTGTTCTAAGAGGTGACCCATGCTTGTTGTAAGAGGCATACCATGCTTGTTGTAAGAGATGACCCATGCTTGTTGTAAGAGGTGACCCATGCTTGTTGTAAGAGGTGACCCATGCTTGTTGTAAGAGGCATACCATGCTTGTTGTAAGAGATGACCCATGCTTGTTGTAAGAGGTGACCCATGCTTGTTGTAAGAGGCATACCATGCTTGTTGTAAGAGGTGACCTATGCTTGTTGTAAGAGGCATACCATGCTTGTTGTAAGAGGTGACCCATGCTTGTTGTAAGAGGTGACCCATGCTTGTTGTAAGAGATGACCCATGCTTGTTGTAAGAGATGACCCATGCTTGTTGTAAGAGGCATACCATGCTTGTTGTAAGAGGTGACCCATGCTTGTTGTAAGAGATGACCCATGCTTGTTGTAAGAGGCATACCATGCTTGTTGTAAGAGATGACCCATGCTTGTTGTAAGAGGTGACCCATGCTTGTTGTAAGAGGTGACCCATGCTTGTTGTAAGAGGCATACCATGCTTGTTGTAAGAGATGACCCATGCTTGTTGTAAAAAGGTGACCCATGCTTGTTGTAAGAGGTGACCCATGCTTGTTGTAAGAGGCATACCATGCTTGTTGTAAGAGATGACCCATGCTTGTTGTAAAAGGTGACCCATGCTTGTTGTAAGAAATGACCCATGCTTGTTGTAAGAGGCATACCATGCTTGTTGTAAGAAATGACCAATGCTTGTTGTAAGAGGCATACCATGCTTGTTGTAAGAGGCATACCATGCTTGTTGTAAGAGATGACCCATGCTTGTTGTAAGAGGTGACCCATGCTTGTTGTAAGAGATGACCCATGCTTGTTGTAAGAGGCATAACATGCTTGTTGTAAGAGGTGACCCATGTGTGTTGTAAGAGATGACCCATGCTTGTTGTAAGAGGCATACCATGCTTGTTGTAGCTCTGTAGGTCTTGGTTGGCTCGGTTGATGCATGTCATTGTATCCCGATTGCGTAGATCAATGCTCAAGACAGTCACTGGTCACAATTATTTATAGACCAGATGGCCTATAGAGCTGGAATATTGCTGAGTGCAGCATTAAACAACAACAGAATTCTGACTCAGTCAGTTTTGGACCACCTGTGTTGAAACTGTTAAGAAGTTGATGTACACTGAACCCTGTGCTTGTAGGGGTCGACTGAAATGAGGATTGGGTGGTCACAATGGCTGAACTCGCCAGTTTGGTGTCACTCTGCCCTGACAGCATGTAGTGCTCGTGCTATCAACCACTTGTTTGCCTAACCCAGATTTGATTACCGTATTCGACGTAATAAGCGCCCTGCTCTAATAAGCGCCCACGGCGATATTTGCTAATATATTGGCTAGTGAACAATATCAGTTAGCACCCCTTCCGATTAATCAATGTACACAACACTTATTTATTCGCGTATAATACGTACTAGTGTGTTATATGCACCCTTAATTATGGGCATTTAAATTCTGGAAAAATATATCTCTCGTATATAAACATTTCAGGCTGTCAGCATAAACCACGAAATTTATCTTTTAACTCTGTCTTTTTCACCAGAATAATATTCTAATAACAGCCCCCTATTTCTAATTTTGAGAGCGCCCTGGGCGATTATTACGTCGAATACGGTATGTTGAAGATGGGGGATAAAACTGGGATGTAGCAAACTGCCACATAAACAACATTTACTTGCTCGCCCTCTCCCTATTACTGTGTTTATGTTACAGAAATGACGAGCTTGGCATACCATATACTGTAGTGCTAAACGATCAAACTCTCGACACCGGTGTCATCACCATACGACATCGGGACACCATGTTGAAGGTAGGCGTGGACATATGCATCATCAAGCTTACAAATAACTATTTCATTTTGAAATGTATTCATCAATACTTGTAATTGATTATATAAAACTAAAAAAAATGAAACAAACTTCAGTTCATATGATTGTTCTAAACATACAGAACCTTCAGCTTTTCCAAAAACCTTAAATTATACATTAATGAAATATGAACTATACTACTCAACTTTGGATAGGGGTATTCAGATATACATTCTATTTAAATAATGTATGCTCCGACATGTGAGAACTAGTTCTGTGTATTATGGAAAGATAAAAAATATCCCTATCAAACATGGAGTGGTGTACTGAAACAAGATGTTGCAGGTTGATCAATGTATCTCATTTAGAGAGTTAATAGTATTCAGTATCCAGTAAATAACTGGATCACAATGAATATCTGAATACTACCACATGACATTAGACAGTATTGATCGGTGAAACATGTGGTACTGACAGCAGCCATGTGTTACATTCCACGTTCGGCTGGTTCTATCAACCATATATATACACGTCAGCAGAGATAACGAGCGATTGTCACAAAAAAAATGCTCTACATTTCAGAGTTGCTGTTGATAAAATTTGTATGTCTCAACCTTGCTAGTTGCTACACTTGTTGTGTTGGCTCTGGTATGACAAGCGACCGCCTGTGGTCTAGTGCTAGAGCGTCAGCTGAAGAGCGGAAGGTTCGGGGTTCGATCCCCGGCCATGTAATACCAAAAGACGTTGAAAGATGGTTCTTGTTGTTACCCTGTCTGGCGCTCGGCATTAAGGGGCTAAAATAAGGACTGGTCGGCTCGGAGTCAGTATGCTGTGTCTGAGTGGGGTATTCATGTTAAACTGCGACATGGTATCTCAGTGGGCTAGCACTATAAATCGGCATCAGTTCGGACTATTACAAGCAGCCCCACACACACGCATCGCTATATAAGTGCAATAATCTTGGACGCAATGTTAAACCCATTTCACCTCACCTGGTATGACAAGCACTGAAAACAGGACAAAACAGGGTAGAGCTTATCAACTCTGAGCCTTATAGTTCCATTTGGTCTGTTCAAGCCTGTAGGGACTCCAGGTCATGTTTGGTTCCCGTCCACTGTGCTTGTCATGCGAGGCGACTTAATGTATCTGTCAGCCAGACTTGGCAGCTTGGTAAACTGTTTGTCATTGTCCCTCAATAGCATTGATCATTTCAGTCACTGGTTAATCTGACACAGACTAGGTAATCTACCACATTATATAACAAGATTATTTACAGGCCATTGTCATATTAACACACAATGTCATTTAGAAAGTGGTCTAACGTAACAAATGTTATATTGGGATAACACTTTCTTCGCGAAGTACAGATTCTAGTACTTTTGGGGATTGAGTCCCATCTGTTATACGAACCCACACTGACAGAGTGAGGCACCTAATCGCCAGCACACAAAGTCAGCAATCTAACCCACCCAGCCACCGAGGCTTCCAAAAAATGAAAGTCTGACAACTGGTACTCCAGATCACGTACTTTGTGTACACCTCTGACGAGTGTAAATTGGCACGGCTCCCACTATGGCCTCAAGCTATGAACACACAATGCCATTTAGAAAGTGGTCAAATGTACTGACAGATCACAATCTGAAAAATACTATCATGAAAGTATATCCTGTGGATAAGCCAACCCTTTTCTACAGAATCTTTTTTCTGGTCCTCAAAATTTTGCTTATCTGCAGACTTATACGGTAACAAATGTGATATTTGGGATAACACTTTCTTAGTGAGGTACAGATTCTAGTACTTTTGGGGTTGAGTCCAATCCGGGATACGAACCCACACTGCAATGTACTGTATTGTACATGTTTAGGGATTGTATGATCACTTCTGGGCCCCTTCGACCATGTGTAGATGTTGCATTATGACTTCTTGGACGGTACAACCAAGTTTAGGGGCCACAGCTACATTTCCCATGTGTAGGGGCTGCATTATTACCCTTGGATTACCCCTGAAGATCCGGAGTATAATAGGTCTTTTAAAGGAGACTATGCTTGTTGTAAGAGGCGACTAATGGGATCGGGTGGTCAAGCTTGCTGACTTGGTTGATGCATGTCATCGTATCCCAATTGCGTGGATCGATGCTCATGATGTCAATCACTGGATCGTCTGGTCCAGACTCGATTATTTACAGACTGCCTCCATATGGCTGGAATATTGCTGAATGCAGCATTAAAAAACAAAATATAAAACCCTTGGGGCCTCTGAGAGTATGTTAATGAGCATCCATTTCAGGGACAGTTAGGTTAGGTCTTGAAATTGGGAGTACTCTTGTGGGTATTTCTTTAGTATGAAGTATTCCAAATAAGGTAGTCACATTGAGGAAGCCTTTGACACTAACAAGAGTGAATGCATGATGCCTAAGTCCCAGTCCTTACTGTTGCAGGAGCAAGTTCACATTGCCAAGTTCAAGGAGCGCTTGGTACGCTACACAAGTCCAGTCTAATGACAAGCACCATGTGAGCAGGACAGTTGTATATCTGCAAGAGTCCTGCTTCTACAACTTACGTCTGATAATCAATATCATCATGGTGCTTTAATTTCACAAATTATGCCTTATGCCATTTCCTATTTCAACTTGCACCATGTCACCCATGTTTTTTTCATTTGAACAATAGTCATGCCTTTGCAGAGGGGGAAAAGATGTACATGGTAATTCAGAGGCAGGGGTCAGAAATTTGTATCCTATATCTTAAAGGAGGTAAAACCTCTTAGACACCTGGCCTTACACAAATAAGTGATCAATTGAAAGAGTTCCATTGTTCCATTTGATAAAATAAAAATAGAGTAGCTATTTGGGGAATATAACTTCGGGTCTTCTGTATAGTGCAATTTATTTACTAGGGCTACTAGTATCCACAATAATTTACTGAATTATCAATATTTTGTCAGTTGTACCAAAGATGTCAGACAGGAAATCAATGTCAACTCCAATCAACATTGATTTCAATTTACAGAAGTTAAATTAAAACTAAACAAGACCAAGGGTGAATTATGACCTTGATGAATAAAATGAAAATAAAAACAGACCAAAGCATAGTTAAGTGTTTGTCTTTATTTATACAATTCATTTGTTGCTTACAGCAATTTGGTGAAAGGTTTTTGACAAGACGTCGCATATCATTATATCATTTTTAACAATGAAACCAAAGATAGTTGAATAACTACTCTATCTGCATGCATCAGTCTACACATGGTTTAATATGGTAGATTACAGCTGTTACGAAGAATCAAATCCAGGCACCATTATGAAATAATGAATAAATAGTCTGTACAAATGAATGAAATGGCAATAACAGTAAACGACAGGGGTCCATGATATCTGGAAGGAGCAGAGAGCTACTATTCAGTTACGGAGAGTACTTCTATAACCCATGTCTTGGTGAGAAGATCAGCAGTAAACTAAAGCAGCGCCAATGGTGGTATTTTACTTACATGGATACAGAAAAGGAAATACCACACCTCTTGACTTAACTGAGTTTGAAAGCAAAGGATAGTTTTTGTGGAATATCACCATGGACTCTGGTTAGACTGAATACTGTACAGGTTTTAGTATATTGTTTCTGGACCCCTGTCTCGACAGTTAAGAGTGAGGCTTGTACAGTACATACAGACTAGTTGTAAAGCTGTTCCTATCACTGGGGTAACAAAGGTCATCTACCTGATGCCCCAACATGGGTTCCCACTCTTACAAACCATGTATACAATTCAAATGTATTCACTCGCTTTAACAAAGTCTCGCACTACACGAATGACACCAGTAGTTGTAAATCAAGGCTTGCTAAATTGATCCAAACATTTACCGGATATTGCTGAATTTTCATACTTATTACCAATGATTATTTTCTGCCTTACATGATTACTTCTAGCACAGCATTATGGATCCAGTCCTACAAGTTTGTAAGAGCGAGATGAGCTAGCGAGAAACAGTGGCTTGATCATCAACACAATATCTTCCATCTGGTCCCCATCGAGACAGCAAAACACACAATATGGCATCAGTAGACATGACATATGTACAAAATGCACCTATTAAGAAAATAGTACTATCTTATATCCCTCACGGAAGTCAGATATGCTTCATACAATGCTACTGCTGGTTGACATTTTGATGTTAACATGACCGTAACAAAACAAGTGTTGAACTATACATTCACACAGACCATTCTATACTATTGTATGCTACTCCCCGTAATATCCATGAATTGTTCACAGGCAAACATTTTGATGGACATCCTTAGCCGGAATCATTGATGATCAAATACTGGCACTTTTGTAATTTCTACATGATGCACAATCTAAACCCGGGAGTCTGACACAAGATCTTATTTTGTACCCCTAGTGAGTATACTTGTAAACAATGGAACCAACAAAAGCATATCCTATAAAATAAATTGTAACAAAACTAAAACTATTGATAATGAATATTGAACAATAGAATTGATAGTATCTGTTCACATCACATACCTGGGGGGCACATGTCTAATTTGAAGCAACAACATATTTAATTTAATAGAGTAAATAACACCATGTGATATTGATGAACCTCAAACAGGCTCTGTAATTATAATTCAAAACAATTTAAAGTAGATATCATAAATTAGACATGTGCCCATAAACATACCAATAAGAATTTCAGAATAGAAAGTCCAACGCCCAACCGGCCAGTTAGAAAATAGCCCAAATTCCATTTATAAAATACTTTTCATCACCTTGCAGGCAGACATACACAACATACATTCTGATGGCTATATTAAAATACCGCAGCATGATCAACTTCCTAGCAACAGACCAATCAAGTAAAGCATGCTCCTTTGTTGACACAACTAGAAGGGAAGTGTACAGTTCTGTCGCTAGTCTCGTGATCAGGGACTTCTCATGATTAGTGTTAGTAGATACACGAATCACCATGTATACGACTGCTGGATCACCCTAGTCATGTTGACATGGTTGAGACTAAAATCACTGGTTATTTGCAGATACACAAAAACTCCCAACTGAGATGTGAACATTAAAAGTCACTTACAGACATTATTTTATATCTCTGATAGAACCAAGAATGTTAACAATCTGAACTTATTTACAGTTATTGTTCATGATAATTTCTTATACTGGACATAATTTGCAGCTATGGTCAGTAACTGGAGCCAGGTTGATATCCAATTTCTGTTCTGAACTTCCTGGAAGCTCCTGGAAGCATGCCTTACTTCTTCAGTCCACCAACATTGACCCTTATCCAGCCCTCAGTATTCACATGGGGAAAGTTTCTAGACAATATCTATCCTTAAGCCGGTAGGCTGAGCTTCTTCCCCTTCAAAACTGAAACAAGAAAAAACACAATAAAAATTGCATGATAATGAAAATATGACAAGGGAAATCATGTGTTCGTCACTTAAGATGAAATATTTTCTGAAAATGCTCCAATATAACTGTAGGCTACTGACATCCTGAGTGTATGTGTCTCAGAACACAAGTGTACTCCATTCCTAGACTTGTACAGTGAAACCATGGAAACCAAAGATACTGTAACTTGATGGTCAGGACAGAATCTTTATTAACACTTTGGCCTAACATCAACATGCTGTAAAAACGGAAATTGATAAACATGATATATACATCAAAAAAGAAGTTAAAGAAAAACTGATGTTTTTCATACAACTGTAGTTAATTTGTCATGGCATTACAGATTAACTATAGTCATGTGACAAAACATTGGGTGTTCTTTTTACGTCTTTGGAGTAGCATGTTTGTTTCTACCGAGTGCTTTGAGTTACTAAATTTTCACTGTGCACAAAGTCATATGTCACGTAAGCATGCCAAAAAATACACATTATTGTGAACCATACAGTTTCATCTCCATCATCTGGTAATTACTTCACTGACCTAGGTGGGAATACCATTTTGTAAGCAGAAAACCGTGGCAAATACATACATACATATACATGTGCATATGAACATCTACATGTTATTTCCACTCCCAGACATATAATACAAAAGCAACAGTTCAGTCGACAATCAAACTAGATAAGATGTTCACAGGGAGATAACTGAAACCATGGATGTGGTCAGACAAGCAGTAAAAGGAATGGTATAACAGATAAACTAATAAAATTAATAGCAAAATGTGAAAAAAAAATAAAAAAATAAAAAATCCCACAAATGATTGGCATGTTATTATTCAAAGTGTTTATGTAGAACCCAGGACTAACGTGGAATTCTTTTTTTATATTTGACGTCAGCAATCTTCATGAGAAGTATCCTTTGGGCTGATGTAAACTTATTTATTTTAAATGGGTTTCCTTTGTTATCATATTGGCAAGTGTTTAAAAGGGTTAGTCATTTTACTGTGATAAGTCTGTTCGGTTTTGCATGTATCTAATGTAAAATGATCTTGAAGAAATCCATCATCTTATTTCAAAAGCATCAATAGATTGTATATTCCATCATCAATTGCACAGCTGTCAACATGGTCAAGAGCAAAGGTCAACTTTGAAATAGCTTTGGTTGTTGGACTGGGGGGGCAACCTGATGTTATTATGAACAATCAGGAGTAATTTAGAGGAATCATATTGAGCTTTACATGCAGTTCACATCCTGAAAAAATCCTGATTTAAGCATAAAGCATTTGTCTCTAAATCCAGGGTTAGTATTCACTACAGCACACTTAGATTGCTACTGGCAAGTCCTTCATGCACATGAAATGGGTGAAAAAGCATCTGTACTCGAGGGTTGATTCTCACAGTTTATGGGATACATACAGGATATATGCAAACTAGAATACTCATGCTATATTATTATTTAGGAATTTCGACATGGTGAATGGGAGTCCATAATCAGCAGGTATGTACATGACCACTATGCTGTGATGGTTTGTTTATCAGTAGGTGTATAGATTAATTAAACAACGACAAGGTTAAGACATAAGTGAGTACTGTACATTGTGCAAATAGCTGATAAGGGCAATGGTGTGCAGGAATGCTCAGCTATCATGAAGGATAAAATTCAAAGACGTTACAAAGAATACCATCAAACTTTAAGTGTTATATTCAAAATCATGTGGCGTAATTGTACGGCATGGTTTCAGGTTGGTTCATTCTGTCCATATTTGTTAAAGCCATTGTTCTCAAAACTGTCCGAAACAAATTTGGCAGTGATAACAAGGTAAAGACAAATTTCTCATTAAAAATTGTAAGATGTTCTAGGAGAACTTGTCTCTAATAAAATCCCTGTATGGAGTACATTTTCGGGGGGAAAAAATCTGAAAATATTATCCATGGTAGTTCAAAATCAGAAAATGCAGGAAAATTGGAAGGCTAAACCAAAGGGAGAGAGACCCAAAGCCACTTGTGTTGTGTTCCAGACTCAATGATGCTACTCTAGCCATGCAAACCAAGGCAGCAACATATATCATTCCCAAGATTTTCGTACCTCATGTCCTTTATAGCTTTGAACTGACCTGAAAATGATTAATTTGAATACTTTCATGTCATCCGTAGTAAGAATTTTGTTCATGTTTGGGAAAGACTTAAGTATCAAAATATAACATTCAATTTTCCTTTTTCTAAATTGACCAAGTCAATATATTTCCCCCTAAAAATATGACATGTTTTTAGAATGTGATTAAATGGATTAGTTGATGTCTTTCTGCCTTTGCCTCTTCTAATATATGATTAGATAGTTCACACAAACAAATACTAACAATCTTCACAAACATCACCCAAAACAAAAGGCACAACGGGAAACTTTTGGCCATGATTTAGAAAGAATTGCTTTCTGAGGTGTCACTTTACCCAGTAAGTATTTTTTCATCACATTGTAGATATTCTAACATGTAGGTTGCTTGATCATGTTGATGATATTTTGATCAAATAACATATAAACATGATAAAGTTTTTGTTTCAGGAACTAGGGATAGACAACCGTTTCATTATTTTTGCAAAATCAACATAAATCTGTAACAGAATGCCTGCATACATCACACACATCATACATTTGTGAAAATGTTATCTATAAGTGTACTACAAAAAAGTACAAGTAAACTGATTTTAGGAAGTATCTTCCATATGATGTATACATTTATAGAAACAACCAATGACTACAGCAAGTATTTATACATGCCACAAGATGTCAGAAATATGTAAATTTAACATTCTTTCTCTCTGCGTTGGTTGAAACAAACTCCTACAGAATACTTATCACAGGATGCAATATGGTTTAGTGAGGATGTGTGAAACATGAATAAAGTGCATGTGCCAACATGCCTGCCATACATCATAATAATCAGACCATCTTGTCATACTGAGTTTTAATGATCACCCAAGAAGCATCACAGCATTAGAAACCAAACCAAAGGCCAACATGGTGCACAATAAACAAAACAAGTGGCTGGCTGTCAGTTTTACAAATTTATCAACAGCCTAAACTGTCCAAGACAGTCTGCTCTGCAAATGCTGGAAGTTCCATTTCCAACAGAGAAACTAATCTGTCAAAGTAACAAAGAATTAATCTGTTGATGTAACAAAGAATTGATTATTTGTTATTTTAACAAAGCAACAAATCAATTCTGATAATTTGACACACTAGAGCGGATGGTAATTTGCCAATTCAGTTTAGTGTCTAGAAATCTAAAACCTAGTTAATTTCAGGCACACTGTCATTCATGCTAGGGTGGGATGCCAACTACATGTACTTGCCTAAGAATGAGGTTATATTGGAGCACTTTCAGTACAACAGAGGACCAAAGACAGCACCAAACAGTTACTAAACCAACACAAGAAAAACTTGTAAAACACCCACCTTTAGTGATGTACAAGTAGAAGAAATCGCAATACAATATTGTCTGTACACATCCAGCCACCACAGCTATCAAGTCAAAGAATCCCTCGAAGTAGTAACGGTACAGCCAGTTGAAGATGTACAGAGCTCTGTAGGATCCCAAGGCAAACAGGTAATGGCTGGTGATGGTCTCGGCCTCACCGGTCTTGCTCACCATGAACAGCTGTGGCAGGATGGCCACTGACTCCAGGTAGATGGAGAAGGTCCACAGAATCTGTACAATATAACATCAGAATTATAGCCAACTACCCATATATTTGAACATGCAAACCATCATGCAACTAAGTCCAGTCAAGTCCCATTAATCCGACATGGCTGGTTGCATATGATTATGTCGGATTAACGAGTATGTATGATAAACGAAATTAAGTAGTTCCAACGTTCGTCGGTCATAGTTCGCGAAAGGTTCTTCCGAAGTGACCTGTAATGGGATGTCCTCAGCGATAGCAAGAACTTGTATCTGATTTTAATGAGATTGAGGTAATCTAAGCATGCAATTAATCCTGTTTTCTTTACTTATGGCATTAACTGTTTATTGTTAAGCAAAGTTTATCTCTGCAGCTTTGTAATATGCAACTACCAGCCTACTCGTCTTGCATCAAAACACTGGCTGTGTACTCGCGGGCAGATGACCATAGAGTACGCTGATCAGTGTGTTGGGGTGAGACTGATTAATGAGTGATTTCGGTAATTCGTTGCAAATTAGGTGTGTCGGAGTCTGAGTGCGAGACTGTCAGATTAATGCACTGATTTAATCGGTTTTCATCATTAGTCGGATTAACAAGACTTGACTGTTGACTGTATTAAATATATATGAGCCATAAATGATACTTGTTCTAAAAATATAAGACATTTAAGAAGTTTGCAAACTATTACTCAGTTTTGAAAATGACACTGTAGCGATTTAAAGTCCATACATTGATGTCATTTCGACTTTCAAAGTACTTTGCTTTGTTTGAATAATTTCTAATTTCATATAATTAAATAATATCTGACACGCACACTTCCTCTAAAAGACGGCAAATATATAGTGATTACTGAAATCAATAACAAAATACACCAACCTCAAGGGGAGAGAACTCATGATTGACAAGGAAGGCCAAGCCACCGACTGGCACCACCAAAAATTCCATTCTGAATGTATCGTGGTTACTGTCATAAGTGGCCCTGAACTTCATGAACATAAGATAGACTGTGAAGAATGACGATGTAAGGAAGAACAGCTTCATGGCTGTGTTGTAGATCGAGATGAATGAAGTGAACAGATCCAGGTATCGTGAGGTAAACACCAGGGCGAAAAGTATCTGACTCTTGCCAGAGATACCTGAAAATAAAATAGGTATCATATTATTCAAACTGTTAAATACAAAGCGATAACTGTGTGCAATTATTTGACATAATTGTCAAAGAATATTTTGAGGTTTGAATGGCTTTTTGACAAGATGAAACATCTCAATCAATATTGTGCTGTCAAAACCTACATTTTTTGAAGACACGAAAGATAACAGCCTCTTTTTTTGGTTGTGGCGACATTTTGGGGCTTCCCCCTTCATTACATTGTTTAACTTCATCCAATAAAATGTTCTATTTCCATATGCACCCTTAGGCTTTGTCTTAACAAAAATGACAACAAAACCCCTACATAATAAAAGCCATGGGACAGGTGCTCTCATTACAATTACAGAAGAACCTGGGGATAGGATAAGCATGATTAGAAGGAAGGCACTTTTCCAAAATATTTAGTTTTTAGGAAACTTTTTTTTCAATACTTTTCATCTATTAATGATAACTCTTTTACAATGTTATTACTGGAAATATACAAATTGAAATATATAACCAAACTCAGATACTTTGGTCTTGTTTTTGTTCATCTCAAGAGCAATAAAGCCCAGCCTTCTAAATCCATGCTAGTCTGCTAGGTCGAGATTACAAATTGCGCCCAGGAAAATCCAATGATGGTAGTCATCATTGATTGATTTGAAGACTATAGTTCTGAACCAGTTCTCAAAGCTTCAATTTTGCTACAAACTGTAACGGAATACAACTGATAGAAAATGAAAACACAGTAAACATTTTTTGTCTCGTCCACTTGTCCTCTCGCCTTTTTACAAAAATTCTAGTGCTAGAAGCTCTGAATAGGCATTCCTCTAGAAAAAGCAGCCTCGACTTATCCTGGCATTAGTGAAATGAACCTTCCATGAGTAAAGATGATACCATGTGAATCATCATGACATAAACATGACCAGGAGACTTATGGGTCCATGAAAATTTACAGATACACTCACTTGAATGATTACAGCATTATTAGTATTAACATTATTAACATTAAATGATTAACTGCCCGTAATTGTAATATGAAATAAAGGAAACACCTTAATTTTCCTTACCGTTTTAATTTATCATAACCATTAAATTATAGATCACCAGTGAAATTGTGGTATACTATGATTATCAGACTATAAAGTCCCACGCTTGCTTGACAACGGTATAAGGATCTATACCGAAATGTCCCTTTCACAGTTATTAAAGAAGTTGTTATCCATAAATTGTGCCTACTTTGTCATCCACAAGCTTCTGAGTAATGCATATCAAACAATTCAGCCCCACAAAAGCAATGCTACCCACTGATTTGAAATGCTAATCAATAACATGACCATGAGATTTTTATAAACCTGCTTCTCATCTAAATTGGTATTGTTAGCAGTCTGATTTGGTTCAATGAACTGGCTTCCTGCATTGAACATGTTGAAGACAAATTATGAACAATACATATAATTAAACAACAAATAATCAAGGACACCTCAAGCAACAGATCTTAATTCTCACAAATGGGACACAATTGCAAAAGGAACATGTGCAACACCTTATCTAATTTTACCCTGAGCATGCAATAAAATTACCTTATTTTAGCAATGTTTTCTGTTGGGTACCAAACTCAAAACAGTGTTATACAGACCTACAACTTCAAAGGCAGCTAATACGAACCAAAAGCATCATACAAGTGGAATTGTAAATGGTGTGGTGCTTATTTCAAAATCGCAAATATCTAGAGCATCCATGAGGGGCAACTAAAACCATATAAAAAGTTAGGGTAAAACAAACATTCCACCCTGAAAAATGTCATGTCCATACTGTTCATTACTTCATGTTTTCTCAGATGCTAAGACACCTACAAATTAGCCTATAGAATGGTTTTAAACACAAATGGTAAACGAGGATGCCACGTCAATGCCACTTGGTGATTGGCAAAATGTTGCTACGTGTACACTGGAACTTCTCAGTACCTCACTGGGCCCGGGGGATCAAATTACACTCGGTTCAAAGACAAGTCACCAAGTTTCCTGTATTTCATTTTATCAAGCACACACAAATGGAATAATGAAACTGGCTTTTGCAAAATAAAAATAAAAATATAGCATGACTACAGCATTAGAAGATATGATGATGTTTAAGGTTCCTGGGTGCCTTATTTACAAACACCTATTGGGACCTAAGTTAACGTGTCACCGGTGCATTTGCCGGTTGTCCTGTCGCTATTTAAAACACCCAAACAAGGTACAAAATGAAACCATACTTCACCTGCACATGATCTCGTCTTCCACATCTTTAGCAATAACAATACTATTGCTAAAAGATGGGACATATCACCGCAAAGTCTGAAGATATTCATCTTGGATGCGTCTGCTAGCTCTCACACGTTCCACTATGGCGGCTGCGGACGTGGCTCGAACTGTCTTATGGGAAAGGAAGTTATCAAGGGAAATAATTCACCACGAATAATAAAACTAACCTGTAAATAATAAACGTCGTGTCATAAAACTGTCAACGTTCGCACAAAGGTGGTGCATAGTAACTGCTTTAGGCATTTCGACAAACATATACATCACCCAGAAATTTTATTTGGTTTTATCTTCACGTATTTAACGTTTTACAGCTCTTAGCAAAAAATGGACAATGGTGCATATACAACTTGTACACGTTGGCGAGGAGTGAGTGAGCGAGCGAGTGAAAGGGACGCTTCTCCACAACACAGCTGAATTTAGCAGAGATTTGCTTGCCTTACTCCTTTAATATGTGGTAAAGTCTCCTTACCTGTTGTGCCAGGTAAAGAAAGAGACTAATGATCACATAATGATAGAGCTATCAAATAATCACACGCCAATGATACACATAATAATAATTGTTTTATGGCACAGTGATCATTGAAACAAAACAATTTTGTAAAAGGAATAACAAAAACAACAACAACAATGATGATGATGATGATGATGATGATAATCATAATCATAATCATACTACTACTACTAATCATAATCATAATCATCCTGGGTCCACTTGCACAAAGCGATCTTAGCGCTAAGACTATTGTAAGCCTATGTTAAAGTATGGGAGTTACGATCATCTTAGCGCTAAGATCGCTTTGTGCAAGTTGGCCCTGATATCATACAGCTACAATACAAATTTACATAATTTATAAGAATAAAGGTAAATAAAGTTAAAAATTAAATCATTAAAGTAAATTAAATCATCTTATCGTCTGGCGCAGTTGGCGCACTGGCGTCACATGCATATTATTTCAGTTATATGACAACGTGTCAGCTTCATGTGGAAGAAGGTCCAAAAGTGATGCAGGTCTTAGACGTTTACAGCTTTCTTGAAACCCACGGGCACGGGTATGGTGCTAATGAACATTGAAACAGAATCAGGACTCGGATCCACGATCAAAGCTTTCTGGCCGGGCCCAAAAGGACGCAACGGCGCCTTAGACGACTAGGAAGCCCTCTGACGTAAGGCAGATTGTTGACGTATTTTGGCTATGATGTCTGAGCTTTGGGGAACACAATAAGCATTGATGTGACTTCATTGTTGACGTCACAGATTCCTGTTGGGCTAGCACGCCAGACCGTTTTAGGTCCTCCATTTCTTTCGCAAAATGAGTTCTTGATCGGCCAGTCCTTCAGACCAATTGGGACTCCTTTTAAAACCCATTCCATTGAAGCTAGGCATGAATTTAGCACAAACTGCAAACGAATGACGTCGAATACTACTGTAAACAACACAAAACAATCTCCAGCAACGCAAATGAATCTTCGGTCGCAGGTCTTTTTTGATTGAGTTAGTAATAGGCATGCACTACAAGTAATAAAGGGACTGGCTTACCTCTCAGGAACGATCGTTCCTATCACAGCCGTATTTGCTTTTGCAGCATCTTCCTAAAGCAACACGTCCGCCGGCCGCGTAACTTGCCCACAGACCGATTGTCTCTGATGTCAGCTGATTGTTGACGTATTTTGTCTCTGATGTCAGAGCTTTGGGGGACCCAATAAGCAATGACGTGGCTTCATTGTTGACGTCAAAAATTCCTGTTGGGCAAGAACGCCACTGTCTTCCAGGAGATTATATATTTTGCAACATGAGGTCTTGATCGCCCGAGTCCTTCAGACAAACTGGTATCTCTTTATTACCCATTCCATTGCTGGTAGGCATGAATTTAGCACAAACTGCAAACAAATGACGTAGAATACTACAGTAAACAACACAAAACAATCTCCAGCAACGCATACGAATTTTCGGTCGCAGATCTTGTTTGATTGACTTGGTAATTGGTGTGCGCACCATGTAATAAAGGGGTTGGCCTACCTGTGAGGAACGGTCGTTCCTATCACACCCGTATTTGCTTTTGCAGCATCTCCCTAAAGCAACACGTCCGCCGGCCTCGAAACTTGCCCATAGACTGATTGTCTCTGACGTCAGCTGATTGTTGACGTATTTTTTCTGTGATGTCATAGCTTTGGGGGACCCAATAAGCAATGACGTGGCTTCATTGTTGACGTCATAGTTTCCTGTGGAGCAAGCAGGTCGCTGTCTTCCATACCGTTTTAGTTTCTGCATTTATTTTGCAACATGAGTTCTTGATCGCCCGAGTCCTTCAGACCAATAGGTGATGTTTTTATTACCCATTCCATTGCAGCTAGGCATGAATTAAGCACAAACTGCAAACGAATGACGAAAATACTACAGTAAACAACACAAAACAATTTTCAGCAACGCAAAGGGATCTTCGGTCGCAGATCTTGTTTGATTGACTTGGTAATTGGTGTGCGCACCAAGTGAAAAAGGGGTTGGCTTACCTGTGAGGAACGGTCGTTCCTATCACACCCGTATTTGCTTTTGCAGCATCTCCCTAAAACAACAGGTCAGCCGACCGCGTAACTTGCCCATAGACCGATTGTCTGTCTTCCAGACGGTTTTAGATCCTGCATTTATTTTGCAACATGGGTTCTTGATTACCCAAGTCCTTCAGGCAAACTGGTAATTTCTTTATTACCCATTCCATTGCAGCTAGGCATGAATTAAGCACAAACTGCAAACGAATGACGTAGAATACTACTGTAAACAACACAAAACAATCTCCAGCAACGCAAACGAATTTTCGGTGGCAGATCTTGTTTGATTGACTTGTTAATTGGTGTGTGCACCAAGTAATAAAGGGGTTGGCTTACCTGTGAGAAACAATCGATCCAATCACACCATGATTTGATTTTGCAGCATCTCCCTAAAGCAACAGGTCCGCCGGCCGCGTAACTTGCCCATAGACCGATTGTCTGTCTTCCAGACGGTTTCAGATCCTGCATTTATTTTGCAACATGAGTTCTTGATTACCCAAGTCCTTCAGACAAACTGGTAAATTCTTTATTACCCATTCCATTGCAGCTAGGCATGAATTAAGCACAAACTGCAAACGAATGACGTAGAATACTACTGTAAACAACACAAAACAATCTCCAGCAACGCAAACGAATTTTCGGTCGCAGATCTTGTTTGATTGACTTGGTAATTGGTGTGCGCACCAAGTAATAAAGGGGTTGGCTTACCTGTGAGGAACGGTCGTTCCTATCACACCCGTATTTGCTTTTGCAGCATCTCCCTAAAGCAACACGTCCGCCGGCCTCGAAACTTGTCCATCAACTGATTGTCTCTGACGTCAGCTGATTGTTGACGTATTTATTCTGTGATGTCAGAGCTTTGGGGGACCCAATAAGCAATGACGTGGCTTCATTGTTGACGTCATAGTTTCCTGTTGGGCAAGCAGGTCGCTGTCTTCAAGACCGTTTTAGTTCCTGAATTTATTTTGCAACATGAGTTCTTGATCGCCCGAGTCCTTCAGACCAATAGGTGATGTTTTTATTACCCATTCCAATGCAGCTAGGCATGAATTTAGCACAAACTGCAAACGAATGACGTAGAATACTACTGTAAACAACACAAAACAATCTCCAGCAACCCAAACGAATTTTCGGTTGCAGATCTTGTTTGATTGACTTGGTAATTGGTGTGCGCACCAAGAAAAAAGGGGTTGGCTTACCTGTGAGGAACGGTCGTTCCTATCACACCCGTATTTGCTTTTGCAGCATCTCCCTAAAACAACAGGTCCGCCGACCGCGTAACTTGCCCACAGACCGATTGTCTGTCTTCCAGACGGTTTTAGATCCTGCATTTATTTTGCAACATGAGTTCTTGATTACCCAAGTCCTTCAGACAAACTGGTAATTTCTTTATTACCCATTCCATTGCAGCTAGGCATGAATTAAGCACAAACTGCAAACGAATGACGTATAGAATACTACTGTAAACAACACAAAACAATCTCCAGCAACGCAAACGAATTTTCGGTGGCAGATCTTGTTTGATTGACTTGGTAATTGGTGTGTGCACCAAGTAATAAAGGGGTTGGCTTACCTGTGAGGAACGGTCGTTCCTATCACACCCGTATTTGCTTTTGCAGCATCTACCTAAAACAACAGGTCCGCCGGCCGGAAAACTTGCCCATAGACTGATTGTCTCTGACGTCAGCTGATTGTTGACGTATTTTTTCTGTGATATCAGAGCTTTGGGGGACACAATAAGCAATGACGTGGCTTCATTGTTGACGTGATAGTTTCCATTGGGGCAAGCAGGTCGCTGTCTTCCATACCGTTTTAGTTCCTGCATTTATTTTGCAACATGAGTTCTTGATCGCCCGAGTCCTTCAGACCAATAGGTGATGTTTTTATTAACCATTCCATTGCAGCTAGGCATGAATTTAGCACAAACTGCAAACGAATGACGTATAGAATACTGCAGTAAACAACACAAAACAATTTTTTAGCAACGCAAAGGGATCTTCGGTCGCAGATCTTGTTTGATTGACTTGGTAATTTGTGTGCGGAACAAGTAATAAAGGGGTTGGCTTACCTGCGAGGAACGGTCGTTCTTATCACACCCGTATTTGCTTTTGCAGCATCTCCCTAAAACAACAGGTCCGCCGACCGCGTAACTTGCCCATAGACCGATTGTCTGTCTTCCAGACGGTTTTAGATCCTGCATTTATTTTGCAACATGAGTTCTTGATTACCCAAGTCCTTCAGACAAACTGGTAATTTCTTTATTACCCATTCCATTGCAGCTAGGCATGAATTAAGCACAAGCTGCAAACGAATGACGTAGAATACTACTGTAAACAACACAAAACAATCTCCAGCAACGCAAAGGAATTTTCGGTGGCAGATCTTGTTTGATTGACTTGTTAATTGGTGTGTGCACCAAGTAATAAAGGGGTTGGCTTACCTGTGAGGAACGGTCGTTCCTATCACACCCGTATTTGCTTTTGCAGCATCTCCCTAAAGCAACAGGTCCGCCGGCCGGAAAACTTGCCCATAGACTGATTGTCTCTGACGTCAGCTGATTGTTGACGTATTTTTTCTG